GGTTTGACACTTTTCTTTTTTACTTTACTGCTGCTAGTTAGGTTACTAACTTCGAAGTGACGACAAATATGACGTAGTAGTGAAAAACCGTCATCATGGAGTGGTAGGCTTAATAATTTCCATTGTGGGCGCAAGCCAGCAATTTTCCTTCCACGATAGCCAGCAACTACCTCTGATGGGGATCTGGAACATTCCGGCCCGGCTATTTCAGAAGCCTTCAGCATATAAATGAAGAGAAACGACAGGTGAGCAGGTGAAACCAGAGAAGAAACTAACCAGCTCACCTGCAAAACGATAAAGGAAACGGGCGCGATGCTGGGACCCAGAGGACATTTGAGACTGTGCCTAAAAATAATCATTTTTATTAAAACGTTATTTTCACTTGTACTGTATTAGCTGTCTTCCCCATTATATTGCCTGTCTTCCCATAAATCATCTGACAATGGAGCTAATGACACGATGGAGCTCCTACAAAAACTCCATTATTCCTATCGCGTTCCAGAATTTTCTGTCCTTTCTTGCCAAACGGATGGAATAGCATCATATCATTTCACCTCTAGGATCTTTATAGAGAGATTTGACCATCTAGCCAATGTCTTGCCGTGCGCGTGACATTGAGACCCAGTTCCTGACGGCTCTTGTACACCAGTTGCCTTTAAGATATATCACTTGTCCGTTGTTAGCACGCACGATAATATTAAATGATTCTTCAGTTTGCTTGAGTATCATCCAGATTTCAGAGCTCTACATTAAGGCAAAAAGAACCATAGAGATCAAAAAAGTGGTTATAGAGCTAGGTTTTATTTGACCTCTTCACGACGTCCTCGAGGGTCTTGTAAATTCCTCAAATGATTGCCTTCCTCCTACTCAGTTTTGGGCAAAGCCATTCATCATGTTGACTTATCGATCCAAATCCACATAAATAAGACGTTCGAAGATTATATATGTTTTTTTTCCCATTTTATTTTTGTTTTATTTTACACGATCCGACACCACGTATTATGCGGACGCCAGCACTCTTTTCATTTGATTCTCTTCCTCGAATCCATCATCCATGGAGGTAAAAGAAGATTTTTGCGTGTGCGTTCAGTTGCTGCATCGGATTTCTGGTATTTATGAATATCGTTGAGTGGTAGTCGAGTCGATTTTCCCATAAATGATTGGACAGAAGTGCTACTTCGTATGCAGACCTTCATCAAAGGCTGTCCCAGGCTTTCTGGTTTTATATATACTTATTTATGTGATCTTATGAACTGATCTTCTTAAGCTGACGCGAGGTTGGTACAGATCTTCGTTGTCGTTGTCGTTGTTTTTGATGTTATTGATCGATGGCTGACGTTTCGGCGACTTCGCCTTCCTAAGAGCCTGGACGTATTTTATATCACAATATTTTTATTATTCGGTGGAAAAGAAGGTTAAAGTATTAATGAATATCAAACTTTCAAATATACGCCATATTGAACAGAAAGGCCACTCACCGTGATGTTACGTGCGGGACTGGCCCACACGTAGTTCACGTGGGTCGCGAGCGAGGCACATCCAGGGGTCGAAATATCATCTCGAAATAGGGCGCCAGGTCACGCGTGATAGTGAGGCATTCGTCCTTCCGGTTCATCTTTGGATCTATGATCGTTTGTGCAGCTCAGAAAACTGTACGATCTGTCCCAACGGGGGAGACGGGGATTGCATGAGTTTAGGTATAATATACTTGATCTCATGCGGCGAGGAATATATCGGGGAAACGGGTAGACCACTTTGTGTCCGCATAAAAGAACATCTAGATGGAAAAGCTAAAATCCGTTTAAACACCCCTCTAGGTACGCATAGGGCACAAAAGCACAACGGCGATGATTTTGAAGTGAATGTGCGGATCCTAGCGCAGGAATCAAAAACATCAACGCGCAAAACTCTTGAGGCGTTTTGGATAAATTTCAAAAATCCAAAGATGAACCTGAAGGACGAATGCCTCACTATCACGCGTAACCTGGCGCCCTATTTCAAAATGATATTTTGACCCCGGGACGTGTCTTGCTCGCGACTCCACGTGAACTACGTGTGGGCCAGTCCCGCACGTAACATCACGGTGAGTGGCCTTTCTGTTCAATATGGCGTCTATTTGAAAGTTTGATCTTCATTAATACTTTAACCTTTTTTTCCACCGAATAATAAAAATATTGTAGTATAAAATACGTCCAGGCTCTGAGGAAGGCGAAGTCGCCGAAACGTCAGCCATCGATCAATAACATCAAAAACAACGACAACGACAACGAAGATCTGTACCAACCTCGCGTCAGCTTAAGAAGATCAGTTTATAAGATCACATAAATAAATATATCAACTATCTATGCCGAGGCTTATAGAAAATCTGTCTTTCGAGTTTTGTATATATATATATATATATATATATATATATGTATATATATATATATATATATATATTCTTAAAGAGGTGTCTAAGCAATGAGAACGCTGTCGTAGAAATGTTTACTTTTTTATTTATTGCCTACTACAATTTCCACAGCATTGGTCTCGGGTCAGATCGAACCACGTTTTCCCTTTCCAGGGACTCGCTCATTACACACTGCGCCACAGAGACCCTTGCTCTGCGTTTTTCTCAGCTATTATTCTATCTACCAGTGCCATCAGCAGTCACTAGTCAACGGGGTAGATCTGGTGGGCCCACAACGGCATTGAACCCTTTCGTAGAAATACTTCACCACGTTGGATAGAATATTGTGGCAAAAAGAAAAACATGACGAAAGCCAGATTCCAACGTTGGTGATACACACTGTCATAGAATGTTTGTTTGGAGTGTTTAGTCATGCAGGTTTTACGGTACTCTCTCTGAATATGAGAAAACAACCTACGGGTAGGTTATCATTCATTGCTCTACCTCAATTGAGGAATTTTGAGCCGCTGAAGCAGATGGCTACGTGGAGCCTCCTTAGATGCCAGATAAGGATTGAACGCGGGCTGAAAACGACTGTATACCTGGTCTGAAAGCTATATCGATTTAGAGATGTCTCTGCCGACTTGAGTTCTCTTATACTTTTCTTATATCTGAAGATATTTTCATGCTAACGAGTAGGAGTATATTGAGGTTCTTTGCTTCTTGTTAATTTGATGAGCACAGTGAAGTTAAACGTATGAGGAATAAATAATTGGCAATTTAGAATCTCATTTAGCAAATGAAAATTATACAGGGCTAGGCTCTAAAAATGCGCGTGTAGTATCCTCGGAAATGCAGGAGTTCTACGAGAGGACCATGAGAAATAAAAATTTGTCAACCAATTTCACATTTTAAGAAAGTGGAACTATTTAGCATCTGCACCAAACCAACCAAGGCGCTGATTTGTCATTGTCTCAACGTTCTTTTACTGCGACGGCGCTATCCGCAGTTACCTGTAACGGGAGTGATTTGTGGAGTAGAATTAGGCATTGAACCCAGTTAAACTGGAGCTGCAGTCGAAATCACAAGGTTTAACCTTTACCTACTACCTATTCTTTTTCTAAGGCAATAGCATTCCCGTTGACGGTTCATTGTTAATAGCGTCGCTGGAGGAAAAAAAATGGTGATATAAAATCAAAGCTAGGGCCATGGTGGTGTAGCAGATAACACGCGAACCCCGGTAAGGATAATCGTTGGTTCGAAGTCCACCTGCGGTTCCTCGTTTTGCCCATTTCTCGGCGTCTTTGTGGTTCTATCCAACGTCTTATTTGAAAGCTTAAACGTCCGAACGGCCTTCGTTAATTTCTGCAGGTTTTCCTAGAGAATTAGTTTTAGATTATTACTTTACGGGGCTTCTATTCTTTATCCTTTCACCAATCAATGCAAATGTGGGTATTACGTCTTAACGAGTTTGGTTTGAAATATTTACGGTTGCATTACTTGTAGATCTCTGATTTTCTCCTTCTTCTCTTCTGCTTCTTGATATTCCGGTAAATTGTTTAGAATAATTGTAAAACTACTTCTACGTCGAAATGTGGCACGTGTAGTACAGTGGTCGCTCTGCAAAACACACGTGGAATCGATCCACACCCCCATGCCCCACCATGCCTTCCATCTCTTCAGGGTCAGCAAATTGGTACCAGACTTCTCTGGGAGGAGAGCAGCACTGGCTCGTCACATCGGTAAGCCACCGTGAGTCATTGTAAAGGCCAGATATGCATTGAATCACCTCCAAACGATGCTTAATGAAGTCGAAATGTCGATTTCTGGATCTTTGTCCTGAATTCCTGTTGAGCCTTGTTGGTTCCGAAACGTTTATCAAACTACTCACAAAGATGGTAGATACAAACTAATATAATGTGCGTTATGGAGCTACTCAATAATGTTCGGTGGTGGATAGCGCTCAGTGGCTGGATTCTGTTGGTTCGATAAGCGGCAAACTACAAACTTACTTCGCGTGCTGGACTTGGTCGACAAGAACTTCCGGTTTCTATGTGAATGTGCTATAAATGGTTAGTGGGCTGTAGCTCCAAAGAATACTCGTAGAGCATGTATTTAACGTTTGCCATAGCAAAGAGAGCAGTAGGAAAATGAAAATAAGTGAGCAACTTGGATGTTTTTAATGTTAAGCTTTCTGTGACATAGTTTTCTAGGAGTTCGTTGAAATGCCTCTCATATCATGAGACTATCTTAACTAAAATCGACTGTTCAATACGTCAAGGTGTTTATTGGGACTAGCAAGTAGTCTGCGACACTGATTTCTTGGTGATTTCTTTGTTTTTATTCTTTGTTATGGTCATGCAAGGGTTCTCTTTTCAATTTACCATTCATTGATAAAGACATGGTGGTGTGCAAATGAATCGGCAGGGCACTGATCGTTTACTAATGCCGTTTCCGTTTATTTAGTTATTAATCCAAGAGCAAAGATTACGTAGGACCTTTTCTTTGCGTCATAAAGTTAGAAAATACTACCCAAAACGGTAACTTCCAGGAAAAGCGGCGGTGTGTCGATACCAACCACTTGGAGATTTTTCAGGAAGTGGATTCCTTCATGTTAGCACTTCTAATCGTATTCTTTATCGTTAAATGCAATGGTGATGGGGCGAAGGTGAATCTGTTCATTCATTTAATTTGGACCACTCATCCTGTCAATGAATTGATACAAGAGAGGCTCATAGCTCCAAAAGGGCGCACAATCTTATTTAGAAAGTCAAACTAGCGAAATTACTGCGTAGTTGCTAGGTTCTATAGTTCTCATATACTGAGTGTTTTAGGTATATCGTGAAATTGGCGGACAAAAATTTATCCATTCTGCCAGCTCTCATCTACAACTCGTCCCTCACATTATTATCTCGTCCGAAAGCTCGCCAAAGACAAGATCTCGGGTGTTCAGAAACGTTCAGGTGCCACTGGATGGTTAGTACTATTCTGCGCATTGAGCTGAATTTTTTGTTGGCCTTTTCGCTTTGTCTCTGTTCCATATGAATGCTGAGTTTGTCAACTCTGTATTATCTTCAGGCATCAGAATTTGGAATAGGGGTAAGAGATATTACATTTAAATTATAAATACGATACTAGTCAGCTTCCAATTCTGCTTGTAACTACGATAGTTTCACTGCTGGGTAGGCTTCCAGAAGATAAAGAGACAGGATTATGTTTAAACAAAGAGACTTTGATGAGGTTTTCTGGTCAGAAATCTTCAATGACTTTTCGTAGTTTTTTTCACAAGTGCTAAACGTACTGACGTATCGAGTCATATTGTTTGATGTGGAGAGTATAGAATCTAAATACTATTCTACTATACGTAGTTCCATTTTTTGGTGGAACTACCGAAGAGTTGCAAATAGCCTTCTAATTTTTCTCAGGAAGCAGCTCTCAAATTTAAATTAACTTATATTGTTTGTTTGCAACACTCTTTAGGACGAGTCCAAAGAAAGTTGGTCGCACCCGGTCCAATTCACATCGCCGTGAATCAATCAAGAGGTTTGCTAACTTTTTGTTATTCGTTCTTCGTTTTTCTTTGGCATCACCGTTTTCTACTCATATAAAAACGTTCATATCCATGCACTATTTGACAACGTCATAATTTTTTGTTAATGTAGTCTAACGAAGGCATGGTTACTACGATTCTGTACTTCCACCTACCCGATAAATAAGGGATAAAGTTCTCGGCCGTTGATCAACCCCTGAGGGATGGCGCCGTGCATCCAACTTCATTAAGCATTGTTTGAAGGTGATTGAATGCATATCTGGCCTTTACTCGCGGTCGCCTACCGATGTATCGAGCCAGTACTTCTTTCTTCCCAGACAAGTCTAGTACCAACCTTCTGACCCCGGAGAGATGGAAGGATTAGTGGGTCATGGGCGCTGGGACTGATTCCACGTATGTGTTTCAGGGCGCTTCTGACCACCCCTACTCGATATTAGTGCGGAATTTCCATTCTCGGCACAATGGTTCCCAACTTTTATCATATCAGCTGGTCTTCACGCTACCATCTCCATTTATCCCGTTTGGAACATACTAAATCCCGTACACACTCGAAGTCGACAATCCATTCGCGACGTGACCATTAAGCACTCAGTTTCTCATTGTTTTTCTAAACCTTTGAGGTTATATATTATTTACTCAGCAATTCTGAGCAACAGTGGATTTCAGACTCGACACCATTACCGTCGTTTACTTACGATGAGGGAAATCATCACCTGAATAAATTATCTGAAGACAAGCGTACGATGGAAGAAGCTGTTGAGGTGGATTCCTTGAGTCTTTATCGTAGCTACTTTCGTCCCAAATTCGCGATAACAAACTGTTTTAGTACGCTAAAGGTCTCGAACGAACTACGATTAGTGTGAGAAGAGATGCGGAAAAAGTTGTCACAACTGTCACACCTGTCATCAGTTCCCGGAGCATCCCAGCTATCATAACGGTACGTAGGTAAACAGCATTTTAGAAAAAGCTATCAGCGAGTTCGAAGAAATCGCATGAAGAAATAGAGTGAAGGGACAGAAGAAGAGACAGCTGTAGTTGAAATTAAGATATCCAAGAAAAAAAACCGCTTCAATGCCTGGTATGTACTCAGCTACTAAAATGTTATGATCCTACCCCTGGATCCCATGTGGATTTGAAGATGAAATTCGTTTTAGCCACGAAATGTGACAAATGACAAAAAACAGCAAGGCAAGCAGACTCCTTCCATTTTTTCCCAGGTATGTTTCCCACTCTGCCTATATTCGTATAAAACAAGGAAATAGGTTACGTATGATACAATCGACCCACCAACTTTACTAGTACCTTGGACACTGGTACGGGCCATTATTTCGACCCATGCCGACCTCATAAGAGTTTCAACGAGAGTTCTTTTTTCCAGTTAGTTAAATACTTTCTATTGAGCCTCGAGATAGCTAAGCTAACCAATTCTCAAATCGTTACTGCAGCTGACGGAAACACTTCTACATCGGAGAAAGGTGTACTACTGCGCGATTTGGCTTCTTCCTTGACAACATAGATTTGATATTGGTTAGGCTGTCGTATGAAAATGTTGAAGTCCTTTTCAACTAGGGCAATAAACCATATGGCGTGGTGCACCAGCTATATCCTGCTACACACTATATTTTAGCACCCGGATGGACACCGACGTTGCGGTGAAATAAGGACCAAGCAGTGATATGTACAAAGAAAGTGGAGCAAATTTAAGAAAATCTCTAGATACGTGGTCTCACTGATCAATGCATACCACGGCGCCACACAACCATGGCTTACTGTGTTTTCATACTGAGCAAAGCCACAAACAATTGTATGGTCAAAATCAGCCTTGCAAATGAGGCACAAAGTGACTGCACATCACAAGGAGATTGATTAACACGGAGCAATTCAAATGTTTTGGTGACATCAGTATGGAACATCACTTCAGTATGTTCTGCGCTTACTAGGGTTTTTAGGTAACTTTGTTACATCAAAGCCCATTCGATCACCTTGCAAAGGAGGAAAAACGGGGGCATTGATTTTCGTCAGTTTAATGAAAAGACTCTTGTCATCCCTGAGAAAAGAGCATCTCAGAAATTTCGGTAGTGTCTACGCCATTGTACAACCGTTCGTTGACTTATGCGAGATCAAGACAAATCGCCTAACCATTCTCCCATCAGTAGTTCTAATGCTGAGACAAGACCAATGTGATCAGCTACAAGCAACACTGCGACCAGTATGTGCAACTCATACGGAACAATTAGGAAGGGGGAATATGATGCATCATTTAATTAACTGGGAGTGCTCTGCAGTTGAAAAGTTCTACATATTTTCCGAGACTTCTACGCTAAAATTAGATAGCCTTAATTAAGAACAACGCAAAATTTGAAGGAATAAAATTAAATATAGAAAAGACAATGACGACCATTTCCTTGAACGTCTGCCTGTTCACACCAACACGCTATGTTCTCAGCATTATTCAAAAACGGAAGTTACAGATAGGTATGATGTCATAAAATGTTGAACCAATACAGTGATCGTTTTGATTTTTAACGAAATAATCCGAGAAGGAAAAAAATAAGTTGTACACGACAAAGACGTCTTCTATGAAATCCTTCACTGAATAATTGGTTCTAACTTCAAGCTGTTTGCTGTCGACCAGCTGTCTTTTGAACATGCTTTAATTATCCGTAGGTCGACGAAGAAGCGTTTTTTATAAAGTGAAATTTTTCTTTGCAAAGTAAAGCAACCTTATCCAATACGAGGGTCCACCACCGTCCTGGTATCAAATTAGACGCATGGTGACAAATCTTCCGCTGATTTTACAAAGGCAACGATTGCCGGTGGTGGTAACGACCTAGGGCAGACTTTGGCCGAGCTGACCTCGAGACTCCAGGGAACCACGTGGCTTAGTAAGCAAATGCCGAAAAATGAAAATTTTACTGGGGTCTGCAAAACCAGTAAGGTTGGGCCATCCAAATATACAAGTATCTAAGTAATAACCCTATCTCATCTACTTGCCGTGGATCGGCTTAAACTCCCACTGCCACCCCAGGCAGCACATAAAGACTTTGCTTGCAAGAAAAATTCCTACTGTTTTTTAGAATCCGCTACTCTTCCTAATTGTTATTTCAAACTTAAGCTTTTCCTTGCGGTATCATTGAACTGTTGAACTCTCTACTCACTTGAACCACTTTCTGCCGAGCCGTTTCATTTTTTGCGAGTGCATAGTTTTTCGTTGTCATATTGTTCCAAACAGAATAGTAATAGTAGATTGCTATCGATGTAGCTACCGGCTGATTATACCGAATTGTTTTTTGTTCCTTTTGTTTACTATAATAACCTTCGAGTCGTAGGCTAAAATACTCCCTACATTAAAATTTCAGCAAGTCAGTGCTAGAGGGAAATCACAAGATGCTATGAACAATTTGATCGGCGCGCAGGTGAGACAATTTCAAACTGCTTATTCGTCGAAGTATTTATTCATATGGAAAACTGAACATGTTACAAATTTAGAGAAAGAGGCCTATATTGTAGTGAAACAAACCTAAAAGAATATAAAGTGTTGGGTGGAGCGATAAATGAGGATGGTAGTGGTATAAAAAGATTTTTATAATGGCGTCATGACGATACTAGTAAAATTTTGAATTTTAGTAAATATTTCTAATTTTATGGTGCAAAAAGAGGCGGTGACATCTAGGACTTTATCTAGCGGCTTTTTCTAGTACTTTTAGGACGTCAAAATCTTACATTTAGCCGTCAAGTGGCGACGTTCTCACTCAAAATATTTTCATGATAACATTTATTATGCTTCAAAAGCCATAAAAGGATAAAGGATAGAGCTCTCGGCGTTCATCAATTCCAGAGGGATACGCCACGCATTCAACTTCATTAAGCATCGCTTGGAGGTGACTGACTGGATATCTAGGATTTACCTTCTCGCGGTGGCCTACCGATGTATCTAGCCAGTGCTCCTGTCTTCCCAGACAAGTCTTGTACCAATTTGCCGACCCCGGAGGGATGGAAGACTTGGTGGGCCATGGGCGCTGGAATCGATCCTACGTGACGTGTGTGTTGTAAGGCGCCTCAGACCACTGCACCACACATGCCCCATGTGCAGATGGGATAAGGACATGTTATGGCTTTTTTTCATTTTCTAAAAGGTAATGTGTTTTTCCTACTTTAAAATTTATATTTTCTTCTTTTGACCAAATATGAATGCTATTTAAGCATGTATTTCTTTTACCGAAGTTATAGGAAAATTGGTCCTCGAAATACTACTTAAATACTTTTTGAAACTCCTTCAAAGGATTTTTTGATAGTTGTCAACAACGGCGAAGGTAACATTAAATCATAAAGAGACAATGAGAGTAGTTAACTAAATAACTATCAGTTGTGGTTCACTCAGTGGGATGGTACAAAAATAAAGAAGAAAGGTGTAAGGCAAGCGATAAACACAGTCTATGAGATGTAATTTTAATGTAAATAACACATATCACTAATAGTTTAATTTAGCTCGGAATGGTACAAGTTACGGCTCCCATTATATCCTTCACTCTGCAGCCTCCACATGTTCAGGTAAATCACTCCATTACCTGTTGACATATTAAGTGACGATGTGAGTCATATACGACTCATTTATTTCCAATTATTTTCAACCGTGTAGTTTGTCGCATAGAGCTTTTTTGCCGCATTTCGTCTTGGAATTAGTTCATAGTACTTAAAGCTCTAAAAACTCTCGGCGTTGATTAATCCCTGAGGGATGCGCCATGCATTCCATTTCATTAAGCATCGTTTGAAGGTGGCTGAATACATATTTGACCTTTACAATGACTCGCGGTTGATCAACGCTGACAGCTTTACCCTTTACCCTTTAACTTGTGAAATGTCGGATTCTACTGTTTTATTTTTCATTTCAAAAAAAAATACTGTTTTCTATGTAATGTTTAATATGCACTTTTGAAGCACAAAGTTTTGTTTTCTAAATTCAATATTGCTTTTCTCAATATTCAAGATTTTAACATTTTTATGTGCTTTAACTGTAGTATGAATCTGCGTGATATTGGTGTCCTTTTTTGTACGAGTGGAAGAGTGGACATAATGCCACGGCGAGAGCTCGGAATATCATCAAGTTTAAGTTGAAGGTAGTGTTGGTGGGTCAACAGTGCGAACATAGTTTCAGAAATTCCAGTCAGATGATTTTGGTTTTGAAGGTAAAGAAGGCTGCAAACGCCTCAATGAGCTTGGCGACGACGAATTCAAGGTACTAGTAGAAGCAAACACGCGAGCAGCTGTTCAAGAGCTTGCAGAACAGCTTGGAGCAAGCACAGGAACGGTTCCCACTTATTTGAATCGCATTGGAAAAACAAAAAAAACTCCGACAGCTATGTGCTACACGAATTAAACGATAACCAAAAAAATCGCCGTTTTGAAGTGGCGTCTTCTGCTATCCTGCGTTATCACTTGCGACGAGAAGTGCAATCAGTACAACAACCGGCGACGTTCAGCTCAATGGCTGGATTGCGATCAGCCTCCACAGGAATGCCCAAAGCCGAAATTGCGCCAAAGAAAGTTTACGGTGACTTTCTTCGTATTTTTGTTGAGCAAGCGCGAGGTGTTACTATTCTTTGTTCACGATTAAGCTGACGTTTCGGCGGATTTCGCCTTCTTCAGAGCCGCTTTCTATGAGGTTTCCACTAAGTATGTCACGTAGAGACCAACCGCACAGAAATCACATGGAAGTATAATGTAGTATATATAATAATGTTTACGGTGACTGTTTGGTGGTCTGCATCCGGGCTGATTCATCACAGCTTTTTGAATCTGGGCGAAAAGATTACGGCAGAGAAGCATTGCCAACAAATCCACGAAATGCACCGTATACTCCAACAACAACGAACGGGATTAGTCAACAAGAAAAGACCAATCCTTCTCCATGACAACATTCGGCTTCACTTTGCGGAACTAGTGCTGTAGAAGTTGAACGAGTGGGCTACTTAACTTTACCTTGTCTGCCATATTCAGCAGACCTCTCGCCCACTGACTATCGCTTCTTAAAACACCTTAAGAACTTCCTGGGCGAGCAATGCTTCACCAACCACGATGACGTAGAAAATTCCTTGAACGAATTCATCGTTTCCAGAACTCTAGAATTTTAGGTAACTGAAATAAACAAGCGTGCTTTTTGTTGGAAAAAGTGTACTGACTCTAATTGTGCTTATTTAGAATAGTAGAATTTGGGTTTCCCAGATCAATCCCGCTGACGGATGATTTCCGATGGCAGAAATCGATGGAACTAGCTGAGAGACAGGCGAAACGAAGGACCCGCATGGTGTGGTAGTGAACGCGCTACTACCCGTAAAGGACAATAGCGCGTTCGTTGCCCATCGCAGGCACCTGCGGGTCCGGAGTTTTGCAAATATCTCAGCATCATTGAAGTTTTATTTGCCCTGCCATCAAATAGAGTAGGCAGTAAATAAAACGGTTAAAATTTAGTATTAAAAAGTTATGGTTATGCAAATTCTCCATTTAAAATCGGACATTTCATATGTTAGAGCCAAGCAGTATGTAGTAAGTTGTAAAAAATACGCCATCTATTGTCCAAGCGATAGAGCAGGGTCTATGCTTTTGTCGTATTCTGAGGTTCTCAAGTCTTCCAGTGATCAAAAAAGTATCGTTTACTGTCGAAAGACTACGAAGTCCGTAACGATATGAAATAAGGCGCCGGCATCACTGACGTTCTAATGGTTGCCTTGCCTAAGGAGAGTTGAGAAGAAACGTTGAGAACCACTGACCGCGACACCGACAGGTCTGCCGCACGACGCCATACTTGTAGCCACTAAGAACTTGTAGGTTTCTTGACAATGGATAAAAATTCTTCGACAACTAGAGGGCTTGGTTGGTGAGCATAACAGGATTGTAGAAGAAACTTCATTCTATCGTCCTATGGGTGTGAATGGCATCTATGCTATTAAATGCCATGTGTTACTATTGTCTTTTCATGCAGACACATGGCTGCCAGCATTCAGAAGTGTGTTGAAACTTATTCTGTGTCTATCTCGGTTTTTGTCACACTCATGCAAATATTCTATACAATATCCATGGTTCATAAAAGCAATTAAAATGAAGTAACAGTTAATTGTTGGTTAAATTACCGGTCAATGAACTTGTCTGAGGAAAAGTTTTCCGTTACAAAGTGGAGGGATAGGTTTTGTGGTCAGACCTCGTAGTGTAACCTGCTTTCGATAAGCTATCGAAAGTATACACAGCATGGTAAAAAATGTGCTGGTACTTTCTGAACTGAAAACGCACACTGTAGTGTTTATGAGTCCATTATAGGTTGAACAATGAATGGGAAATTCGTCAAAATCACACCGGCCATGGCAATATGAATAATGTGGATACTTGAAAACATTGAGAGTATGAAAAGATTACAAAGTGCTTTCAGCCGAATCTAAACGGATTGCTTCATGGGCAGTTGACACCTCAGATTCAGCATGGAGTACCACCTACACCTGGGATAGTTGCAGTAGCCAAACTACCGAATCAGACTATTCAATTGAATCCAATAACCGGACTTCCCACCGGTATCCAGATCCCTCAGGGCCAATTTCCTTCAATACCTCAAGTACCAGTAGTGCCGATAGTTCCTCCAGTTCCTCCAACACCGCCTAGACCCTTCACGTCACCTATTCCAAGTCCTATTCTCCAGCCGCATCCACCTCTTCCTGGGCAAGTGCAGCCACCACAGGTATGTGAGAAAGTTTTCTAGCCTTCATTATTAGGGGCTCAAATATTTGCCGTGTTAATAAATCGTAACAAGTTGTCAGAAGTCTTGTGGGATTTTATCCTTTAACTTCAAAGGCATGAAGGTGCTCACAGTGAACCATAGTAGCAAAACGAAAGTGATTTTTCAAAAAGCTGTATCTGAATAAAAGATTTGAATGAAGGTGCAATCTTCTGTGAAGAATTTTATCAGCAGCTGTAAAAAGTGATGTACGGCTAGCGAGAGGTTTAGTGATTAATCAGTTGAGGGAGACAGACTTTGACATCTCATTTAGTGGAATCCCTCTATGGTTCAGCCCATCGTCGTTGCTGTTTGCAGTTATTGGATGTTGAGCTCAGTATGCGGTGAGGGTACACCCTACCAGTAAGCTATGCCAAACTATGCTGAAGATTTCATCTTTTTTATTCAGATACTTCGCTAAAAGTAAACCACTGTAAAAAATCACGGTTGTCCTAAATTTCTTTCCGTTAACCCTCTCTTATAACAAACCTATTGGGTTCCAGATTATAGCAAATGCTTTTGCCTTCTTCTAAACTACAGTCGTTTCACCAGAGCTCCCGAGAGAAGAGTGAAATTCATTTTTATGTCGCTATGCAAGCAATGAAAGGTTCCTTTCTTTGAAGACTATTTTTCTTCTGTAGAATTCGTATGACATCCATTTCTCGATTTTCTTGCCTTTTCATTTTGATTAGGTTGGCTGTTCTTTGTCTACGTCTTATTCCGTATCGACTCTGATATCTTTAGTTCTCAAGATGTCCACAGCCTTTTTTTCGTCGCAGGTTTCATTTTCATCACAAAAGTTTTTGAATCAACGTTGCATCGTATGCTCGTTGACGAGATGGAGCCTTGATAATGCGAACCAGTTTCGCCTCTTTAGCTCGAAGTTCGATTTAGTACAAATTACTCGCGCTTCCTTCTTTGCTCAGCCTTTATTCCAAAAGCTCAAACTGAACACTTATTGAAGAAAAAACGCGAAAAAAATTGGAAAAATATTGACGGAAACCGGAAATCTAAAACAGTTTATTATACGACCATAGAAGGGAAAACCTTATTTAAAGACAAAGCACCATAATTTAAAAAGTCAAAGCTGACAAGACTTACGGCACTACAACCGTACACTGTGGTATGCAAACCATCTTAATACTGCCACTTCATTGATGCTTGCTATTTAAAGGAAGGCTCTCAGGTGTCACCAACTGAATTTCCCGCACAAGGAGCTGTTCCACCCTCATCTTTCCCAGGACGCGTCGAGGTTTCAGAAACTTATTAAATTACATGAAATAAGAGAATGTAAGGAAGAAAGGGAACTATTTTCTTGAAGTTATGAAATATTTCAGGTTATCAACGGCCAAGCAGCTAACTCTTCTCTGGAGCAACTAGGGTGTGGATTTGATTGGTTGACAAACACCTGCAAGGATGTATTTGTAATCGGGTGGTACGTGGTGAAATCCTTTGAAGGGAAAGCGCGAAAATGGACAGTATTCACTTTTTGGCAAAAACCAGTGGTTTTTTAAAGACCAATCCAAAATTGTTTCAAAGCCGGGAGAGGTAAGGATAAGTCATTTTTGTGCATTGGGTAAAAAAACCTTGGGCAAAATTTTGTCACATTGCATCCATATTGGTTCCATATAATAGTGTGAAGTGAGAGCAAAATGAAACCTATCCATCCAGATTTTCCGTGTTTTGTCACTTAATTTAAAAATTTTGTGGAATATTTAGTGAGAGAAGGGTGTTTTTCTAGCTTTTAGAACAGCTAAGCCAGAAGCGGGCGAGTGTGGCGCAGTGATTGGAGGCTCCACTGCGACACACACGTGGAATCAGTTCCTGCGCCCATGGCTCACCAAGTACCATCAAGTCTTACATCCGTCTGGGGTCGACAAATTGGTACCAGACTTGTCTGGGAGGATAGCAGCACTGGCTCGATGCATCGGGAGGCCACCGCGAGTCATTTTAAAGGCCAGATATGCATTCAATCACCTCCAACGATACTTGATGAAGTCGATTGCATGACGCCACCCCTCAGGGATTGACCAACGCCGAGAGCTTCACATTTTATCCTTTAAGCTAGAATTAGGGCGAGATAATGGCATTAGTGCCTATGTAAGAGTGTTTAGTGCTATGAATATCATTTGAATCTGCTGTGTAGTACTTGAACAGGACATGTTGAAACATCTAGCGAAACCAAATATTTCCGCAGAAGTGTTAGGTAGAAAAAATTAGGAACTGAGCTCTCAGCGTGACCAATCTCTGAGAGATTCGCCACGTATCCGACTTCATTAAGCATCGGTAGAGATGGTTGAATGCCAGTCTGGCCAATACAACTGCTGTCGCTGTATCATGTCAGTGCAGCTATCCTCCCAAACAAGTATGATAGCGATTTGTCGACACCGGAGGGAGGAAAGGTTTGGTGAACCCGGAACAGAATCGATCTCATTTGTATTGCACGGCGTCTCTAACTACTGCGCCAAATGTGCCAGTATTATATCTGAACTTTCACTCAAGAATCAGCAATTTCATGGATTCTGTCGTAATCAAACCACCTATACATGAATATTGTGAAATAGAATACTTCTTCAGCAACATACTATCTTTCAGGTGTGGTCAATGCCATGACTTTGGAAACATCTTCATGCACGACTGCAAGTGTGTTCGGCCACTAATCTCCTTGCCGCGTAGGCAGCCTGTTCAGCCGACCTTATTCTTCAACATGATCTAATCTGCGAGACAAACGGGATAATAGTCAAAAGATAACGTCTGAAAACCAGCTCTTGGTAGTGGTTGGTCTTTGGCAAGCCCACTTACTCGTTGCGTTCATGGTTATCCATAATTAATACAACTTTCAGTACTGATCGGCTTCGATAACATTTCCAACGAGTGCGTAATAAGCGACCGATTTCATTGGCTCGTTTAGAAAACTTATGGTTGGCCTTATCACATATCCAATGTTGACCACTCCTTTTATACGTGATACTGGTAATCTCATTGGAAGCAGCAGTCAAATTCTGCTCATCTTCACTGATCTGCTACAAAATAGGCGTTACTTTACGAGATGTTAATTTTCCAAAACAGTGTTGATGACTGTACCCTACAGTACTCCATGGGTTTTTTTTGTTTGAAGTGCCGATGTTCTTTAATTTAATAGTCTCAGAATATGCGTTATTCCTTTCTTCGTTTTATGTTTATTCCTTATTCCCATTTCTAATAAATGTCAATGTTTTAACAATGTTTACTTTTATGACCGACTGTCCACTAACCTCGGCATTGATCAAACAATTCTTTCTACTTCTGTTTAGCAAACACGAGGTGTTATTTTATTCCTTTATTTGCGCACAAGCTGACGTTTCGGCGGATTTGTCCTTCCTCAGAGCCTGGAAAGGTCGAGTTGACTGCAATCTACCCAGCCAAGCACCTCCATAACAAAACACAGAAAATACTAAACCAAAATTTCAATCACATCGAACACAGAGTAGCTTCTTTCACGTTCACCGCTTTCTATGAGTCTTCCACTGAGTATGTCGCGTGAAGACCGACCACACAGAGTTCACCTTGAATCGTAACGTGCCCATCCCATCAGAATAACAGTCTTATATACTTCCCAATATCGCGCATGATTATGAGGCATTCCTCCATGCGGTCCATTTCCGGTTTCTTGGAATTAATGCAGAGTGTCTCGAGAGTTTTCGCGATTGTGTTTTCGATTCCTGCGCGAGGATCATAACCCCTACTTCAAAATCCTCCCTGTTCTGCCTCTGGGTCCTATCCGTCCTAATGGCCAACATTGTTTACTTCTTTATTTACTGAAATTTTCACGGCAGGCTATTATGCAAATTCAACCAAAACGATGCTGAGATATTCGCAAGACTAGTACCTCGGGCCAAATCGAACCACGATCCCCTTTCCGGGGACTCGCACATTACGCACTGGCCACGGAAACCCTTGAGCCGTGTTTCTCTCAGCTAGTTTTATATCTACCAGTGCCATCAGCAATCACTCATCGGCGGGATTGAGCTAGAGAGCCCACATCGGCATTGAACCCAGTTAAACTGAGGCAGTTTTGCGAATAGTGTTTAAACAATTTGTGTGCTTTCTCTTTCTATCTCTCTCAACTCTTTCTATTTGAGACGCCGCAATAGGTCTAAAGCGTAGTTTTCACAAATAAGAAGTTAAGACCACAACTTGTAGAGAGGTCACGGGCAACAGTAGAGATTTGAGTCAATTCATCAAACTTTCCTTTGTATACTCTTTCCGAGGCTTGTTTAACCGCAGTAGGAACCACAATAACAGAGTAGCAGTATCGCAAAGAGGCGCGTTGATGGCTAATCTTAAGGCGTACTGCTTGAACCGTTTGCGATCGTTGCTGAATAATGTCCAACTACTCATTTGATCATCCCCACTGATTGCTCGTCACAGCATTCATGTTGTCCACTAATTTCTGGGCCTTTCCTTTGTGGTCTACTCGCTCTTTGAGCTGATACCAATTCCTTTCGACGTTTGAATAGGAATTCCTGAATATTGCTTGTTATTAATGTTAGTTCTACATTGGTGATCTCGTCCTGCCGATGGAGATAGTGCGAATAATTTGTAATCACTTTTATGCTGTTCAATTATATGCACAGGAGTTACGAATAATGGTCCCCTGTACCGCAGGCAGTCGTTCAAGAATTTGAGTGAGGATCAGAAGAACCTTCGTCCTTCTTTGCTTTCGGCGTGGCCCAGTCTCGTTTTAAGGATGCATAAAGATCACAGTTCTCTTATAAGTCTCCTTAATTTTGTTTTTTATGGGTTGTATACCAGCAGGTTGGTATGGATCCTTTTGATGGAAATCAATACGTAGGATACAATTCGTCAGTACGAAAGCACGTACAGAAGCCATAGAAACTTGCCAGGATATGTCAGTCTACGATGATATAGACAGAGCTCATCCTCCCCTCATTCCAGCTGCATTTCAGGAAGTTTGGGGTGGACACAATTTCTCCTGTTTTTAGCGACTGGTAGCACCCTGTCGCGAAATCAATGTGTTATCATTATCAGATTTACAGGCTATCTGATAAATGGTGTTATGAAACGACTACTTGGAAAGTGACCAATGGCAGGTCAGAAAAGAAAGAAAGGTTCTGTATACTTAATAGCACGGCTAATTAATTACTTTTCCTAATGTTCTGGGAACAATTTTCTACATGACCTAGCCAACGGGAAGTTGATATAAACTGTTATTTGACTATTGTTTCGGTGCCTTCGTCTTCCTGAGAGCAGCACTGACCGACTCTATGATCCACAGCTGGCCGATGTCTCATCGAGTCGAATTCAGTGGAAGGAGCTTTGCTCGAGTGCGGAACTTCACTCAGCGGTGCTCTTGTATACAGGACGGACGTTGATGTATTGCCGCTATCCAAAATGATCTGCTTTTTGGTGAAAATTGCGTTCTGTGCCAGGCGGTACTTCATTTGCTGGTACGTAACTTGGCAAACATCTTAAAAACTCGTCTTCATTAAACTTCGGCAACAGTATTCAATAATTTTCCGTACGATTAAACTAATGCGAGATTTAAGATATTGTCTTCGGTGCGGATTAATTCCTAGGAGATGCGCCATGCATTCGTTTCGTTAAGACGTTTGAGATGATTGAATGCATATCAGTCATGTTCTATGAGTTATAATGGAATAGAGGGCTGATAGCACAGTGGCAGTTATATCCATCATATGGTGCCAGCTAGATTCCGCTCCGGGCCAACTAAGCCTATCATCCTCCCAGGGTAGTGAAATTGGTGTTGGATTTCTCTGGGAAAAATCACTCTCTGCATTCCAATTGGGAACGCTCCAGCCGTGCTATCTCAGAACTCCAGGGAGAAATGCTCGACCATTATTCTGCGACACTAGAGATGAAATCAAAATCCTCAAGCAGCAACCGAAGCCACACGTAAGAACTTGGAAAACTTTCGTGGACGAGAATGCGAGGAAACGAATTGAATATGAGAAGTGCTGGAATCCCCACAGTAGACGTGAAGACGGATCAAATAAGAAAAAAGAAAACTAGAGTTGTAGACGTCAGATTCTCTCAATGTTATGCCGAACCTGGCTGTCAAAGGTGTGGAGCCGGTGGAGAACGATGGATACAGGGAAACGAATTAGATGTGAGAAGTGTTGGGATCCGCACTGTAAACGTGAAGACGGACCAAGTAGAATAGGATTAAAAAACAAAAATACAACGGCTTACCATTGTATGTAATAGGTCGATCATGCATCACCTTACAGACACTTGAACCACCTGTAAGCAGTAATATAATGGAAAATTAAGTTTAAATTATTGAATGAAGCACGGTGTGTGCGGCACAGCAGCATGCGCCTCCAATTGCCACTTGATCTCAGCAAATGCTTGAAAAGCTGTTTTATAATATTCCATTTGTAAGAAAAGACAATTTACGAAGACGACTTATTAATTAAAATAATATGGGCGTTTGGTGCGCGTGCAGTGCAGTGGTAAGAGGTGTCCTGCAGTGCAAATGTGATCGTTGGTTCGAACCAGCGCCCGTGGCTCGTCAAGCATTCCATTTCTTCATGGTGGGCTAATTGGTACCACAGTTACCTAGGAGACAATAGCACTGCCTTGATAGAATGGCACGCCATCCTAACTCATGGTATAGGGCAGATATGCGTCCATTCAACTTAAACGATGCTTGATGGAGACGAAGGCATGGCGCAGTCTTCAGAGTGTGATCAAAGCCGAACGCTTTATTCTTTTTAGCATGGAGGTCTTCGAGAGAAAGACACATCACACTGTGGAGCTGGCATAACATATCTAGTCGATCTGCTAAAAGAATCTCGCCACCACATTAGTTCAAATTATGTTAAAGCGAAGTTAGGAAATCCATAATGTTAATTGTTTCTCTAATTAATAATTGACCAGCAATCGCAAGTAATTGGAAAAGAGATTTGCCCTTCCATTTAGTAGGCGTTTTTCTTACCTACTTGTCCACCAACTTCTCTGTTACATCGGAAATAACTTATTTAGAACATTTATTTATATGATCTTATAAACTGATCTTTTTAAGTTGATGCGAGGTTGGTATAAGTCTTTGTTGCCGCTGTCGTTTTTGTTGTTGTTGCCGTCGTTCTTGTTGGTCGATGGCTGACGTTTCGGCGATTTCGCCTTCTTCAGAGCCTGGACGAATTTTATACATGAATACTTTAATTATTCGATGGAAACAAAGGCCAAGGTATTAACGAAGGTCAAACTTTTAAACAGACGTCATGTTGATCAAAAAGGCTAGTCACCGTGCTGTTACGAGCGAGATGTCAACTATCTACGCCGAGGTTTATAGAAGTGTCTTTTGAGGTATTTAGAGCATTGTCGGATGCTAGACAAAATGAGATCTTGGCCAAGATTGAAAAAACACGCACAAAATGAATAAATTGAAGTAGAATATAGAGCAAATATGAAGTAAGGTGATAGTGTAGATCGTTATCTTGAGAGGATGTCTACTGAGGAATGAGAGTCATAAATAAATGTTTAAAAAACTTTTGCTTTATGGTGAAGCAGCGAGGAAGGAGTTTAAGCCAGAGTTAAAGTCGGAGAAGAAGGAATTCTGCAGGGTTTTCGTGACATTCCTTATCACTTCGACCTTTCCTGGTATCAACTATACCAGCGGGTTCTCTGCACAACCCACTCCAATTGATATTTCCCAACTACAACCATCGCCATCGGTTCTTGGCTAAACCATGACTTTCCTAGAACCTCCTCTTTTCGCTTTGAATAAGCAATTCATAATTCAAATGTGGACTTAGAAAATACTATATATGATGTTGACGTCTTATTTACTGCCTTTCGCAAGTTTTCACGGCAGGATATTATTTGTGAAACAACTACAATGTTGCTGAGATATTTGCAAAACTCCGGACCGCCGGTGTTTGCAGCGGGCAACGAACGGGCTATCACCGTTTCCGGGGGCTACACGTTTACCACCACACCAAAAACTATATGTGGTATCTAACTTATGCACTAGACTTTGCGACTAACTAAAATAATTGTGAGAATATAATTGAATTAAAATGTTGATAAACATATGAGAAATAAATAAACGAAATACAGTGGAGAAGTAGTGGTAATCCTGTCAGTATTCTTACTATTTTCTTGTGCCTTATTAGCTTAGTTTTCCTCATTTCTATCATTTACACCGTAAAGCGGGCCATTGCTGTTCTATACATGAAGCGGCGAACCGAGATTGACCGCCTTAGAAAGAATATGAACTTCTTCGTATTTTTGTTGAGCAAACGCGAGGTGTTATTATTTATTAATAATAATAACACCTCGCGTTTGCTCAACAAAAATACGAAGAATTACTTGATCAATGCCGAGGTTAATAGAAAGCCGGTCGTGAGAATATGAACTGTTGTGGACGAAATCTGAGGACGACGAAAGGTCTTCAACAACGGCTGTGTCGATGCAGCGGTATATATGAACCGAGTCTGGCTAACCCACTTGGGCCTACAACGATGGGCTGGTATATTCCTTTTCCACAGAACGGAATGAAAAGTTGTACGAAATTTCTTTATCACCACGCTTTAGTCTGAAGGAGAAACAATGAGGCTTCATCACAAAACTAACTATTTTTCCCTTGTGTTCAAACCACCTCCACTATAAATTGTGTTCCATTTCGTGACACCCACTTTCTTTGCTCTTTGCTTTCATATTTTTAATGAACAGGAAAGTCGCAAAAGTAATGTTTGCCTTTTTTATAATTTCCAGTTTTACATAGAAGAATAAGAAATGGAAATAAATGTTGAGGACAACTATGAAAGCCATTCAAAATAAGGTGTGTTTGAGATGCTAACCAATTCCTTTTGATCTGATTTGACATTAAAATTTGAATGTTATCGTTTTGTTTGCTGCCTACAGCAATTTTCACAGGTGGAACGAAGAACCGGCATGGTGTGGTGGTGAACGCTTTAGCCACCGGAAAAGGTGATAGCGCGCTCGTTCCCACCTCAGACACCTGCGGTCCGGAGTTTTGCAAATGTCTCAGCATCATTGTGGTTTGGAATTTTATTTTAAAGTACTGAAAATTTTTCCTAAATTCAAATTTATCAAATTTCTCTCAAGAATATGCAAAATGTGCATCTTCCGCAAATTGAAAACGTTTCAAATAATGTATACGCCATTGTGAAAAGCTAGTCAGTGTCCACTTCAACTAATTTCCATACATGACCTAAAAATAAATAACGCGTTCGGCTTCTATCAGTTTCTGAGTGCTATGTTATCCACTCGGATCCATTCCTAGCATCGTAGAAGTGATTAAGTGCATAATGTGGCCACCATCAAATAACTTGTTGTGGTCCACCGATGAATCAACTCAGTGTTTTTATCCTCCCATAATCAAACCAACAACCAAGTGTATCTTGCAGGATACTAAGCATGACCGGCGCTATATATACATATATATACATAAATATATACATATATATACATATATATATACATACATATGTACATATATATATACATATATATTTCCACAAAAATATAGAATGACGGACGCGTCTGGCGCAGCGGTCGGAGGCGCCCTACAATACACATGGATAGAATCCTGCGCCCATGGCCTACCAAGCTTTCCATCCCACCCGGGTCGGCAAATTGATACCAGACTTGTCTGGGAGGATATCAGCACTGGCTCGAGACACGGTAGGCCATAACAACCTCTTGTTAGCGCTTGCGGGAAAATTCTAAAATGTCATATCTCAGGGTCGCCTTCCAGTTTTCTTATTTGAGAAGCTAGGATATAAATAACTATGACAAGCAGAAAGGAAAATGCTGCATGAAAACTGGTGAACGACTTGTATTTACGTGCTACCCTTCTATTAATTTCTTTACGTATTCAGTATTTACCTAAACCTTAGAAATATTATGTAGGTGCCGTACTTTTCAAAGACCATTTCCTTTCTCTCTTTTCTGATCATTGCCTTCTGACAACTCTATAACACTCTGTGGCTGAAACTAAGTTGAGCTCAAAGTTCTACGATAATCTACAAAGGATTTCGGGAACCGGTCTCGGTTCCCCTTTCTCTCCTGTCTCTGCTGATTCGGCTGACCTCCATTTTGCTGGATTGTAATAAGTAAGCAAATTAGTAAAATGAGTGAAGTAATATGTTAATATCTATCACGTAGCATTAGTAACATATTTCTTCAAATTATAGTGATTGTTACTTCGTTATTTCTATTCCGGTGTTTTACTAATTTAAATGTTGTTGCAGTTATTCTGATTTTTCAGAATTTTCGTCGTGGGACCAGATATTTGCATCTGACAGAGTAGGAGACGCAATGAATCAACCATTCATTAAAGTGGGAGGAGCCCTATTCTTGTATGGCACCAACGATTCCGTGGGTCTTCCGATTTTCTTTACCTGCTTTTCTGGTTTAGAACTTATATCATGTTTACTCTAGAAATGAAATATAAAACATTAGATTGCATTCTTTCTTTGATAAGCTTGCACGAGCTTACACGATTGTCAAAGAAAGAATACATATTGATCAGTCACACCGAGGTTAAGGGAAAGTCGTTTTTGAAACATGAAATTGTATCTGTGCCAAGTACTCACTGCTGTTTAAAAATGACAGAAAATACTCTTACGAATGAATCCAGCGAAAAGATGAAAATGAAAGTGTAACCAATTCTTCTTTTCGTTCTGTTTTTTTTTCGATTCACCGAAAAGCTATTTCTAGTCATCAACGTATTTAAAATACTAACAATTTGATTCTCAGAGTGAAAAATATGTAATAAGAGCTCAACATGTCAGTAAGGAGGAAAGCCACAGCGAAACTCACGAACCCGTCCGTCACCTTTCTGGATGGAGAGGGATAGCAGATGGGGAGATGAGTGGAAGAAGTATCGAAGCCCATATGGAATGTGAGGAGAGATTTGGTTCTCTTCATACCTTTTTAGATGAATATGTTTCTTATGATGACTATTTATATGTATGATGGATTTTCTTTTCTTAGGTCTGCTTTGAGTTCCTAACGCTTTACCACCTCATCGTGGTTGGGAGATGTTCATGGGTGTCGAACTGCGAGGTACACCGAGGGAATCCATTCCCCGGCAGAGCATCCCAAGCTAAGAAGGAGTCCGGCATTTCCATCAGGTAGCTCCGCTAAAAGTCAACCGATACTAGGATCCACCACCGCCCCTGGTATCAAACTAGTCGCATGGTACCAAATTGCTGCGACTGCCTGTCGTAGTGACTACCTGGGTCAGACCTTGACCAGGCTAACCTCGGGACTCCAAGAAAACAACATGGCTAAGCCAGCAAAATTCTGAGAAATGAAGATTATTCTGAGGCCCACCGAACCAGCGAGGTCGTGCTGTCTAAGTATCCAAGTATCCAAGTAGGATCTGCTTTGTAGTATTTTTTTTAAGAGAATGACTCGAACCGTCTTGCGCATATCCTTTTTAAAATACTTCTTGAAATATAAAGCAGTGAAATGTAAACGAAAAATGGAGTAAATCAGTAGTTAGGTGAGAGAGGAGCTAGAGGGAAACATAGGGGAGTGAAACCCTGAGGAAAAGAAAACGGAGGATGAGGAAAAGGAACTGTTAAAGAAGGAAAAATCTTTGCCTGTGAATTTTGGCTATGAACCTTCAATAGCCTGATAACAACTGGAAAGCCGGCGTACTTCTTTGTAGTTGGAATTGTCCACCATAATATGGAGTTCTTTTCCTATATTCTTCGTGAAATTGTTAATAGTTCAACGGGATGCACTACCAGGATCAACTATTAATGAAATAAAGAAAAGACAGGAGGAATTTATGACAGAACAAACTTCTATCGTCTTATTTCTGTTCCTGTACAGGTCGAAAATCAATAACAAAACCACCGCCGGAAATTATGCATGATACGAATGTTGACATTGAACTGTTTCAGCGAAGAGATTAACATTTTCTCTGAGTCAACTTCCTCTCAACTCTTGTTTGATCAAATATTCTTCCATTCTTACTTCCACGACTAGACGTGAAGCTGACTATACTTGGCTGCTGTAGAAACGAATGGAACTTCAGACACCGATGCTAAACATGGGTGATTCGACTCAAAATAGCAGCGTAGTTGCACGCACGGCAGCTGATGGGCAAGAAAAAAGTGAGTCCTATTTACAAAAGATAAGTTTTTTCAGCTTTGGACTTTTGACCAATTGACATTGTCATTAGTTAGCTTCTTAAATGCTGCGTACTATAATTTTTCGCGATAGGCTATAATGAGAAATGCAACCACAATAATGCTGAGATATTTGAAAAACTCCGAACAGCAGGTGTCTGCGGTGGGGATCGAACCCTTTCCAGGAGATGATGCGTGCACCACCATGCCATGCACTTCGTTCGTTTCGCATGTCTCTCAGCGACTTGGATTCCCCAGATCAAGAGGCAGCGTTAGCCCCGGAAAGGGTAATAGCGCGTTCGTTCCTCACCGCAAACACCTGCAGTCCGGTGTTTTGCAAATATCAGTGCATCAATGTCATTAATACTTCTCAAATCTACAGTAATTTCACCTCGGAATTAGTAATTAATGGGGGCGGAGAGCATAATGATAGTGATGCCGGTCGTCACTAGCACGGTGCTGGTTCCATTCCGCTTCGGGCTCACCAAGCCTCTCATTCCTCTGAGGTCGGCAAGTTGGTACAGGACTTGTTCATGAAAGAAAACACTCTCTGCAATCCAACTGGGAACGCTCAAACCTGGCTATCTCAAAACTCTAATGAGAGTTAGATAAAATGAAAACCCTCAGGCAGCAGCCGAAACCACACGTTAGAGGTGGATGATGGATACGAGGAAACGAATAGAATGTGACAAGTGCTAGAATCCACACAATAGACGTGATGATAGGTAGTAGAAAATAAAAAAAATAAAACTGTTATTCAATACCTTCTTGGATTGTTAAGCTAGCACGAGGCCGATAATGTCAACTGAGGCATCCTCACCTGACGGCGCTCTTCTATACAAAGGCGGCTGTTGTTGATGGCGATTACTCGTTCATAATAATTTGTTTTTTAAACTTTTTGTTGCTGCGCACAGTTTCGTTGGCAATTCGAGTGGTGCTCCATTGAAGAAGATCCGGCTAGACAGGACGACTAAGACATCACATGGGTAGGGCAAACGGCTCGTCACCATAGTTCTTTGTAATCCAAACAGCTTCCATTGACCCTAAGATTTTAGCAGCCTCTCCGAACTCGTCCTACCCAAAGCTGCGAAATTGGGAGCTCTTTCGGAGTCAGGAGAATGAGGCCCTTTTTTTTTTTTTTACTATGATTAGCATTTTGAAACACTCATCGGATCTGAGGAAGGCGATGTCGGAACGTTAGCTGAATAAGTGTTTGATAAACAACCTCGTGTTATCTCAGTAATCCAAGAAAGCGTCATTAGTATTCAGATAATAAGCGTTCAATAAAATAATTAGTTTCTTCTCACATGATTAGCTGAATGGCCTTATAGAAGTCCTTTAGCTTGTCGACCAGAGTGTAATTGTAACTTGTTGGAAACGACTCCTAATTGTTGACTTTTGCCACTGTCGACGTACGGGATACATTCTGTTAACATGAATAGGCAAATAAACATCAGAGAGCACGTGTACACAGAAAGTATAAGTCAATCTGACGTAGTGGAAACAGGAACTCGATTCCGCGAGCCCATCTGGGTCTCAGGTCAGCCACATTTTTTCCCTTTTCATCGTATTCTATGGAAGAACGCCAAGTAACTATATTGTTCGGTATTTTTGCAAAAGGGAAGTTCGTGGTCGTCCTTGACATGACTGACTAACCAAGTGAACAACATTTATGGATCTTCTCACGGCCGCTTCCTGTCATCTTAAATCGATAAACACTAAGATCTTTTTATTGTAACTGAGCTGCGACCAGCCTAAGACAACCCATTTAACCACACCTTTTGTTGATTGTCCAGACCGCTGTCTGTTTTATCGCCACTGTTTCTGTCTGTTCATACTATCATCTCAACGCAAACGAAGCCTAATATTTTTTGAAAGCTAATTAATTGATTTGTAATGGCTCCAGCTTTTCTCTCTTTTACTTTTTAAAAATTCTTTTAGTTGCCTCAGTATCGATGGAGCTTCGAAACAATGTAATTTAGGAAGTCCGCAACTTAGAAAACAGTGTACTGAACGTTTGTGACTGCTCGGATGGTTTCCATTCACATAAGTATTTTCCACGCAATCAACAATATCCCCTAGAATGAGCCACTAACTTGATATCGCGAATTTCTTTTTTTTACTCTTGTTGCACACAAGAAGTGTATATTATTGGTGGCCAGGTAAGTAAAGAGATTTCACACGTTTATTACACCATTTATGTCAAAGGAACTATTTCTCCTGTTTTTGGAAAGATGTTTGTAATGCTAGCCCCTTTGGCTTAGCTGTGGTTGAGTTTTCCCTACCTGAGCTCTTGGATAGAAATGTAGAACTGCTCGGCCTGGATCAACCAATTGGAGGGAAACTCCCTGCTGTTCTTGACACCAGGAGCATCCTTGGCAACAATAAACATGCAAACTATCTGGGTAGATAAAGAAGTAAATGATGGAGAAAGTATTTATACTGACAAGTCTCTTATTTTAAAGCGTCTTACCTTTTATGTACTGCACGTTCTACTGCAGGATGAGATGTGACATGCAAGCACAAGGCTGCTGAGAAATGAGCAAAACTCGTTGTGGCTGTGGTTCATATCTCTTGTTTACTTTATTTACTGTAAGACTTAATATCACACTCTGCGGGTGGCACCACCTTTTGCAATCGATACGTTTCCCTGCATCCATCATCCGCGAAGGTCTTCGAACTTTTTTCTGAGTGTGATTTCGACTATTACTCTAAAGAATTTCCGTCTTGGTCATGAATTTCGCTGAGTACTGATCGAGTCGATTCTCCCTGGAATCTTAAGATGGACTCCCTGGAATCTTGAGAATCGTGCTAGACAGTTTCCTCTTGGATTGGAGGGAGCGAACAGGGAACCAAACAAGTCCAGTACTAAGTTCCCGAACGTGTATGGTTGGGTTCTTGAAGGACCTGTGCGGAGTCGCACCAAAACCGGGGTAGTTTTGGCCTTTCGCGTAATGAACGGCATGACTAGCATGCATTGAGCTACCTGCTCATTCCTTTATTATTCCATATTATTATCACTATTACTATTAATGGGCGTGTGTGGTGCAGTGGTCGGCGGCGCCCTTCAACACACACAGAGAATCGATCCCCGCGCCATGGCCCACCAAGCCTTCCATCCCGCCGAGGTCAGCAAATTGGTACCAGACTTGTCTTGGAGAATAGTAGCATTGGCTGGATGCATCGGTGGGCCACCGTGAGTCACTGTAAAGGCTAGATATTCATTCAATCACATCCAAACAATGCTTAATGAAGTAGAATGCATGGCGCATCCCTCAGGGATTATTAGTACTTTTATTTCTATTATTACTACTGTTGTTGCTAATTATCATTATCATTATCATTATTATTGTTATTATTGCTATTTTTATTATTACTTATAATGAAACTAATAATAATAATTATCATTATTAACTCAATGAAAGCATGATCTTTAAGTATGGCAATGGTTCCCGGGATCGACTTTCTATTAACCTCAGCATTGGAAAATGAATGCGTTGTTTTCCTGTTCAGCAATCGCGAGGTTTTTAAACAGCATACATTTACTACCATCGACTCGTCGACTCATCAACCACATGCGACTATAATCAGCTGTTCTAAACCTCCTCATTGGAAGTCACGTAAAAAGCGGCTCTGAAGAAGGCGATACTGCCGAAACGTCAGTTAGCGTTGTATTGTATTGTGTTTCTCTATGGAAGTAAATGTATGCTGTTTAAAAACCTCGTGATTACCGAACAAGAAAACGACATATTCGTATGGCAATAGTAACTCATCCTTCAAAAGCTGTCCCTATTCTTCTTATTACAGTACTTCTCAAGAGGCTTCTTTGTCTCGCAAGCGTCCTCCATTGAGGTATTCCATTTAGAAAGTGGTTTTGGTCGCTGTCTGAAGATTCTCCTCATTTCGTTTCCAAACTGAATGCCGGTCAAAAGAAGTATTCTCGGCATTCTCAGGTTAACATTTCTGTGGCTGTGTCGATTCTTGCGATTAGCCAACTACGCAACAGAGGACCAGTAGACCAACTGAATTCAATTCTGGACGAGCATAAGCCTTTCAATTTTCAGGCCGTGTTAGAATGCCGCCCGCCAATCAGCAAGAATAGTTGTTTTCAGGTGACATATGCTTCATTTCTCATCATTCTACATAGGTGTGCTGAGCCAGTATTTCTTTTATGAAAACATGATCGTTGCTTACGGCTACTGTTAGCTGGTTGGCGAAATCGAAAGAGTGCTATTTTCACTCACTCTATTAACTATATATAGTTGTTACCTTAAATTTCCTCCAATCAACTGTCTTTGTACTTTCTGTTCTGTTAAGGAAAACTTTTATTTCACATTAGCCGCCTATTCGGCTAATTTCACTGTCTTCGCAGCCTCGAATGGCTGTATTAACGACCCCTTTACTCCGGGAATCGTTTTCATAAAATTATAGTGTCAAAGTCATCAATCTAAACTTTGATCTAATCCTTTCTAAGCAGCTTTACAAGCTCGCAGTACTTCATTCTAGTTCAGTTCAGTGATTCATTCGGTCGCTAGTCTACTTTAACATCATCTGGAAATGTGTGTTCAGAGATTCCGGAATCGTCCGCTGTTCGTACGAATCGATCGCTTCGTCGTCTACACCTCTTACTGTTAGTGCTGGTCGTCATGGTGTTGATCACTGTGCTTCTTAGCGCTGTTATTGCCATCAAACTCGGCCATATGGAGCAACAAATGGACCATGCTCAAGAACGACTCTCAGAGAACATTCAAGAGGCCATAAATGTGGGTGTTCTACAGTTTCATTGCTTTAACGTCTAATGTTTACACCCATGAGTGCTCGTCTCTGTCGTTCTAAACATGAGATTTTAAACTGAACAAGTTTTTCGGTACTGTTGAGCATGTCCTATGTTAGTCACCTAACAGGTTGCTTTTTTTGCTTCTGATGGTTAAGCATAATCAGCTGCAACCGTTTAAGCTTGTGGTACTTTAAGATATTTTGTAGAAAATGTCCAGAAGTAGAAGAGGGGTTAACGTATTTGCTTTCTCCTCTTTACCAAGTTGTTTCGGCGGTATGTTTCTTCAATATGTCGATGGGCCAACGAGACGGCGATGCAAAACTGTGCAGAGAAGAGAAGCCTAAGAGAAGTGAAGACGTTTTCTGCAGTTTTTAAAACATTAAGCAGTAATGGCGAAGTTGTCTGGCTAATGGTATCAGACCTTTAGCCCTTGGCACTTCTTACCTTCATTGAAAGTTAGACTGACGTCTCGTGAGAAGCACAAAATCTGAAACATAGAACTCTTGACACGATGCTCAAGAAATAATGTCAGTTCTTATTTTATATCCTTCTGGTTTATTCTATATACTTTGTAGTGCATATATGCCGCTCTACACCTTCACTTAGAACTTATGTTTCTATTTTGATCTTTTTTAGTGCTTTTACCTCTATTTCAATTTATCTCTAACTAGAAATGAGAGGCGGCACGTGCAGCACAGTGGTTACAGTGCCATGCAATGTTTGTACTCCACCCCGCACCCCAGGCTCACCAAGCTCTCCATCCCTTCAGGATCAGCAAATTCATACCGGATCTGTCTGCAAGGGTAGCAGCATTGACTGGATAGATCGGTAAGCCACAGCGAGTCATTGTAAAGGTAAAATATGCATTCAGTCACCTCCAAGGATACTTGATGAGATCACATGCAAAGGTGCATCCGCCGGGATTTGATCAACGCCGAGAGCTTTATCTTTTTATAAATGAGAGGAAGCGCATATGAAAAACTTGTCATATGAATGGAAACTTGAACGGAAACGTTACGCAACGTCAATTTTGCATTTGCTCGAGGAACCAATGTCGAGTACACAGTGCAGTGCAGGTTTCGAAACATGAAGGTGAGAGTCGTGAGGAATAGGAGAATCGTAGGAAACCTGCTTTTATCAATAATGACCACTTGGGAGGTTACTTCGACTAGATCACTGGAAACGCTTCGTGACCATACAGAAGAAGAGAGCATGAAACTAGAAGTAAATAAAATGAGCGGTTGGCATACTTAAGGTAAATTTAAAAAGAAAACAAGGAAAGATGTGGAAAATGGGTCCGAAAATGTAAAATGAAAATGGACATACAGAGGCGTCACGGACAACAAGCAGTCAATGCGACCTTTCCAAGCTCAGAAAGAAAGGGGAAATGCTGAAACGGCAGCCAATCTTGATTAAATCGTCCCACTAACAACCTCGTGTCGGCTGAAAAAGAAAACAACGACTTATCAATGCCCACGTTAATCGAAAGCCGGTTCTGGTAATAGTGAAGAGATCTCATGAAATCTGCTTCGCACTTGTGTTCAAAAAACAACGCGCTTCTTAGCTGCATCGTGTCATAAAAACGATTCACCAACTCTAATAAGCATTTAAGCTTAGAGGTGACACCGAAATCGGTGTGGTTATCACATGTATTTGACTTCGACTTTTTTCAATGCCCTTCCTGTGAGTAGATATGAAGTTACACCGCTCGTTACGTCTTGCCACGCAAATGTCTTCTCCTCTTTTGTTTTGCTTTCCAGTCCATAACTCGGATTTTTCTATGTACCTTGTTACTACCTGTAGTGGTTACTGTTTCTGCCTTTCCTCTACACTGGTCAATACGCCGAGCCACGCGTGAGTTGAAATCCACGTACGTCTACCTCTAAGTGCTCCGTTTTTTTATTGCCGTTATATGAAATTAGAAGCTATGATTCCGGCGATCAACTCTCGTCAAAATATTGACAAAATGCAGCAAGAACGTCTACAGCAGGCGCTTCAATATGCAACAGTTCAGGCGAGCGACCACGCGTGATGGCGCAGTATTGAACACTGTAAAAGTTGAAAGAATTACTTACGGAACTCTTTGCAAAAGTTAGATGAATTCTTTACGGAACTTCTTCTCATCCAGCACTCTCCGCAGGCCACTCGACACTAGACTGTCAATTTCCAAGCGCTTCTATCTTGGATAAGCTTGGATAAGGATAAGGATAAGCTATAAGCTCCTCCATTACCACGCAATTTGTGATAACACTTTCAGAAAATCTTATGGAACTCCTCGCCATCCTGCACACTCTGCGGACCACTCGATACCTGACTGTCGGTTTCTAAAGCACTTCTGTTATTGCTTGGAAAAATTTTTCCGTAATCACGCATTTAGCCATAATAATTCCAGAGGATTCGTGGTCTTCAAAAGCCTAGCTGTAATCGTAATAAAGTAAAAAATTTTATTTAGTTCTCAAGAATTTGTGTAACGTAATAACTTCCACTTTGGTAAACAGTGTTTTTAAGCAGTAAGTGTATTTGAATTCGAAGATTAAAGGTCCACATTACATTTTGGACAAGTTAGCAAAGTATATAGTCAACATGTGTTTATATTGTTGAGCTTACACGAGGCTGGTAGAGATGTTTATTCGGCTAACGTTTCGATGTCTTCGTCTTCATCAGAGCCGACGATCCTCGTCAGTGATCCACAGCTATTCCTTCCTTTTGTTGATGTGGCGTCCTCGTCTCGCATCGAACCGGACCTTCCTCAGTTGAGCATCTCGAGTGAGCTATACTCACCTGGCGAGGCTCTTTTATACAGGGCGGTTGTTGTTGATGTGATTATCCACTGTTAATAGTTTGTTTTTCAATGAATAATCCACTCTGCAGGAGTCGGTATTTTGTTAATTAGCACATAGCGACTAGCACAAAGTATAGAGAGTTGGAGAGTAGCTATTATTATTGCGACGATACAATTCCAGTTTACAAAAGTACCCGAATTCGTCAGTAGTTCCGGACGGCGTTCAGAAACCGTTCATTTCGAAGCTCCAGCTAGCTCCGATCTACGACCCAACTTCAGCAAACATTTCCCGGTTTGAGTAACCTTTGAGATGCCGTCACTGGTTTCCAAGCGCGCAATTTTACTTTATAACTGGTTTGTACTCTTCTTCATAACTCCGTTTAGATAAGACAGTCATTAAGAGTTCTTCTATTGGAATAGTATTTAAGGGCATCCAACAAACTCTGATGTCATAAGGACAACCTTGTTCCAGAACCTGAAGAATTCTTCGTACCCGTCAGTACCCAATGTGTTGCCTGGAGCACCACCCATTCATCCGGAAGCAATCTGGTCTTCAGGGAATACACAACCTCATGCGTGGGCGGACTGCCCTGGGATGTGCACTAGAAATGAGTACGTTATGATGGCACAGAAAAAATTTAAATTCTTGCTGCTACATTTATTGAGCCATTTTTTTTTACAAGTGAAATTTGGTGTTTTTCTTCGGGAAATGGATTGATTCATAGTAATGTGACCTGATTGTGTGAAATCTAGTAGGAATGAAAAGTGCGTGATTTACGTCTGAAGAATTTCTCACTCTTTTTCGGTAAGTCTGAGTTAGAAAAGCTCCTGATATATGCATAGTGATAGTAGCAGAAAAATCAAAATCGTTTTGAACTGGTTTCCTTGAGGAAAAGATTATACGTCGGCTTTTTTTCTGGCCAAGTAAACTTCAGATCTGAACAATGTTCAAACTTTACGCAATAATCTGGCTAGCGAAAAAATCATGACCACGGCATACTAAGGAATAGATGGTGCAATCAAATATTAAAGTCAGCATTGGAAAAATACTTGCAGTTTTTCTACACCTTCTCTTCTGATACTCTCTATGGATGGATTCAGCAGAGAATACTTGAATCGGTTTAAGCTCAGCTCGCTCAACTACTTAGCGAAATGCGGTGCAATGGCTGAGGTACGGTTTCCACCCTTTTCCAGTTGACTTGTTACATCCAGAGATTTTCGGCAGTGGTTGTGCACGCCACACGTCAATAATAAATCTGGTTGAAGTCCTGGTTAGATCTGAGGAAACTGTCAGCCATTTTCGGAGTAGTAGCGTGAGGTTATCGAACTATAGTAGAGTGTAGACAACTGAAAGAAAAGAAATAAAGAACAGAGTTTGCTACCAAAACCACTCTTCGGAATTATCATTGACAAATTCATTAAAAAAGAGCTTCTCGAAAACAGTTAAGGAGTCACTGAGCATTAGAACTACCGACGTACTAAATCTGAGGCAGAAAGTGTTGGCAAGGGTGAGTGTAGCGCATTGATCGGAGGCGCCCTGCAGTAGGACATGGGATCGATCCCAGGGCCCAGGGTCACCAAGCCCTCTTTCCCTCCGGTGTCGGCAAATTGGTACCAGACTTGTCTGGGAGGATAGCCACACTGGGTCGATACAACGGTTGACCACTGCGAGTCATTGCAAATCCCAGATATGCATCACCTCCAGATGTTTAGTGAAGTTGAATGCAAGGCGCATCTTTCAGGAATTGATCAACGCCGAGAGTTCTATCCTTTATTATCCTTAAATGTGAGCAACTATATTAATAGATTATAGAGGGTTTTTTTTGAAAAACTTTCCAAATAATAATTATAAACCAGACAGTGTCGTAAATTTCACTTAATCTGGGATTAGAAGCTTACTCTATCTGGATTTTTGGTAGAGATGAAGTTGTGGCAATCAGGTTCCACAGCAATGGATATAATTAATGAGACGGTAATTTCTAGTTCTACGAATACCAAGCAGTCAGTCAATTAAATTTCAGAAAACGATCACGGGGATCATAGATTAACTGGCCCTGTTGCGCTGCAGACGAGAATCGAAATGTCTCCTGGCAAACAACTCGATCACCCCTTTAGTCGTCACCCTACCACCCGCGCAACCTTTTGTGTAGTGAATTATTCCTGGTGTTTGCACCCAATTTCTAGCGTAAGAATTACTAGGTCAACTGAATAAATGCGTTGGGAAAGGTCTGAGAAGTTCTTAATCCAAATGCTATTAATGGCAACTGCAACAGTTGTTCTTGGCATTTTTTCATGTCGTGCTTAAAATAAATAAAAAATGATAAAGCGCTTGCCGTTAATCAATCCCTGAAGGATGCACCATGCATTCTACTTCACTAAGTATCGTTTGAAGGTGACTGAATGCATATCTGGCCTTTACAATGACTCGCGGTAGCCCACTGATTTGTCGAGTCAGTGCTGCTATCCTCTCAGACAAGTCCGGTACCAATTTGCCAACCTCGGGGGATGTAAGGCTTGGTGGGCCATGGGTGCGGAGATCAATCTCGTGTATATAGCAGGGTGCCTCCGACCACTGCACCACACGCGCCCTGTGTTTGAAAAGCAGGATGGGAAAATTTTAAACAAATATCACCAACAAACTGTCTTTGAATGAAAAGCTACAAGTACGTGAGTTTCCTGATGGCGGAGGAGTATTCTATGGCAACTATTCAGATGGCCAGCTGAGAATGCTGCTTGAGGCCATAGCACTGGCAGTGGAGAAACTCTAGCTTAGAATTTTATGCATTCCTCACAATCCACAGTGAAGTCGCTCAAGGTCAACCTGCCATTTAGTCTTGTGAAACGATGAAACTTGAAGCCAAACTTATTGTAGTCGTTAATTCTCTTTCTTCTCAAAACATATTCGAATAACGAATTCTATATTTCCTGTCTCGTTGTTACAAGAAAGATGTATGAGTATGTTTTTTCAGCGCGTCTATCCATCTTTTCCCTCACGGACGTTCCCGAACCATTATACTATGGTCACTGGCCTTTATCCGGAATCTCATGGAATTGGTAACTGTTATCAAGAATTCCTTCAAAGAAAAATACAAGTTTTTGTTTTGGTAAGAATACTTACTTACTTACTTGGATACTTGTGCGGTCTGTCTTCACGAGCTGTGCGGGCCCCAGCACATATGCCATTCGTTCGTTTCTCTCGCAACCGTAGACCATGGTGGTGGTCTTGTTCGAGCGTAGCAGCGCTTGCGAGTCTCATACTGTGATTTGTAACGTGTTCGTAAACAAAGTTGATCAGCGGGTAGAGCTGATTAACTTTGTTTACGAACCCGTCCGCCCAACGTGTAGGTGGTCGTCCAAGAGGACGTTTGCATTCTCTTGGAGTCCACTTTACTGTTCTTTTCGTCCATCTGTCGTCGGCTCTTCTCATTATGTGACCGGCCCATCTATGTTTCACTATCGATGTATATTTTCCTGGATCTCGAAGATGTGACAGATTTCGAAGGTCAGAGCTTCGCATTCCGGCTACGCATTGAGAGTGCCAGTTATATTTCGGAAGCGCTCTGTGAATAGCGCGAAGCATTCTTTACGTAGTTAAAGTATCAACCCACGTCTCTGCAGCATCACAGTGCGCTGGGAGGACCGTAGAATCAAGGAGATGAGTGCGGATTTTCGGGTCCTTCAGTTGGTCGGTGGCTTCTTTGGGAGGCCCGAATGCGGCCCAAGCTGCCCTCCTTCTTCTATCTAGTTCCTCCTTCATGTTGTTTTCCATGTTCACTGATCGCTCAAGGTAAACGTACGAAGTGGTCTCTGCAATGAGAGAGCCATCCAATTCAATTTTTTCGCCTTCGCACCATGGATTTTTCATGAACTGGGTCTTTCGTTTTATGCGAAGTCCGATCTTTTTCCCCGCTTCGTTGAACTCGTTGATCATCACTTCTGCTTCGTTAGTACTTCTTAAGAAGATGGCAATGTCGCCGGCAAAACGAAGGTTTGGTAGGAATTTTCCATCAATATGTATGTCTTTCTCATCCCAATCGAGTGACTTTATTATCCACTGCAGTGCTGCACTGAACAGCTTGGCGATATTGTGTCGTCCTGTCGAACCCCTTTTCTAATGGGTATTGTAAGAGGTCAATGGAAAAGCTGCATTTTCGTAGTGCAATTCCGATAACAGTCGGACGGAGTCCTTATATAGCGTGGGTCCACACCTTGGTCGACGAGCGCTGATAGGATTGCATTTGTTTCGACACTGTCAAACGTTTCCTCATAGTCCACCAAGGTTAGGACTAAAAGCAAGTGGTATTTCCTACAAACTTCGTTAACCCTAGACACGTTTTGAATGTGGTCCATGCAGCAAAATCCTTTTCTAAATCCTGCTTACTCGACTGGTTGCGCCTCATCCAATGTCCTTGATAAGCGCGAGAGGATAATCTTCGTGTAGAGGTTGTAGAGTACACTTAACAAGCATATGGAGCAATAGTTACGAAGATCCCTTCGGTCTCCTTTTTGGGCAGGATGACCGTGCGTGACGTCCTCCATTCGTCTGGGATTTTCTCCTTTTGAAGGTAGCCTATTATGTAATTTCCGAGAAGTGCATGTAAATTGTCGCCTCTATCTCTAAAAAAATCGTCCGTGATATTATCGGGTTCTAGAGCTGTGCCTCTTTTCATGCTTTCTATCGCAACTCGAACCTCCGACGGAAGAATTCCAGATGGCTTTTTTCCAGCGAGGATATTAGGGCCCGGACAGCGGAACATTATAATCACACAAGTCCCGACGGCATTTTTTCAGACTGCTTCTTTTCTTTGCTGCTTCCAGTATTTTATTGTGCTTGCGCCGTTTTAGATCTTTCTGTAAAGCTCTTCGGCAGCTGGCATTTATTACTAGAAATGTTAAACGTGTTGCAGTAGGCTCAAGCTCCAGTTTCCTTCTCTTTTCGAGCAACTCCTTAGGAGTAATGGAGATGCCATCCGATCTTCTTGCTTGAGGAACTGATGCTAGCTCGGCACAACTTTTCAGTCCTTCGACGAGTAGCTCGTAGTCTTCGGTCAGGTCTTCTTTAATCTGCCAGTCACGTCTGGACAGGGCTTTGTTTAGAATGTTCCCGTCGTATACAGCTAGACTTTTTCCTCGTGGTCGATGAAGAGAGTTCTTTTCCCGTTTGCGGCTGAATCGAATCTTCGCGTGAAGAAGGCGGTGATCGGAACCAGTACAGAATGACGGGACTACCGATGTGTCAAGTAGGCACCATCCTCTGTTTGTCAGAATATGGTCAATCTCCGCTGAGTCATGCCGTTGGGAGACTCCCATGTCCAGCAGCGGCTTTCTTTCTTCTGGAAGAACGAGTTCTCATGGAAGAGAGATGCTGCTGACAGGAGTCCTGCGGGACGGTTCCCATTCTCGTTTCTTTCTCCTAATCCAAAATTTCCGATCCTGTATTCGCTCTCGTTGGCCTTTCCTACTCTGGCGTTGAAGTCTTCAACAACAAATTTGTGATATGCTTTATCATTGTGGATGACTTCCTACAACTGATAGTAGAACGAATTCAATTCGTTGTCATGAGCTACGTCAGTCGGTAAGTAGTAGTTGATGATAGTGATCTTCTTATTGTGTGATAGTTGAAGACGGAGAACGGAAGAGAAGAGAACGAAGCGAGGGAAAAAAAATCACGTATAAGTCGACGAGATGGACAATGGACGGGTGGACGACAAAGCTTACGCCACCGACATTTCGTGACGGGACCTTTTCTCCACGGATCACAAAGGTCTCGTTGTTTAGTTGGTGTATGTCGGTCTTCTTGATTTTTGTTTCTTGTAATGGGATCACATGAAATTTAATGCGATCTGCGGCTATATGAAGAGCGTGAAGATCGGCGTCTGTGGAGAGTGTTCTGGTATCATACATGCATAGTAAGAAGCAGTCTCCATGGTGTGTCGTGCGCGTCTTCGTCAAATCCGGTTTCTATGACGTCCTGCATAACCGATTTTCTGGCCTCTCAGCGATCGTCTCACCGCCTGACGTCATAGACGGGAGGACCCAGTGTGCGGGGTACTGAGGCTGGCCTATTGCTGGTCGTGCAACTTGGTCCTTCCTGGAGTCCTGACGTAACCTTGAAATTGCGTATCCAGGTCTTCACCACGTTGTGGATCAGAGGGAGGTCTTGATAAGAATAACGTTAGAATTATTAAAAGTTTCGATGAACTCTACATTCATTTCAGTGGATAACTCCGTTTATGATCCCAGCTTATCTGATATAATGGAAAGTATGAAGACTACGAAGAAGCAGGGCTTCTTCCTAGGCGATCCGGTAAGGCAAATTCTGTCCTAAGCCACATTTTCCTTGGAATGTGCTTTTTCCTCAATCTTTTTACCGTCACTTTTCTTTGAAATCTAGATCTGGAATGCCTACAAGCGTCACGGTGGCCGCACTGCATGTCTTTTTTGGCCAGGATGTGCTTATAACATCTCAGGTATGAGCTTATGCGGTTACCCAATTCCATACCCCTTGCTCTTAACATGTTTTTTGAAACAATGTCTTATTAATCACCGAGTAATTCGATTGCGCATCAGCAAAGTATTCATTTGTACTCTCAGCATGTTAGAGCTGTTCACATTATGTCTCGCCCATTCAATGAACACTATTGGAGATTAATAATGGAGCTCTATACTTTTGCTATTTGCGGAGAAAAGATTTTCGCAGGTTTATCGCTGGCCTACAACCGTGACACTGATTTCGTCTGGTGTAAATGACGAACTCCTAATTACCTTGGGCATCTTGTTGCAGAGAAACCATTTCTTTAAGGCGTGATTTGACACTGGGTATACTTCCAGGCCCTTTCATCAGTAAACTATTGGGGTTACCTGGTTTCGTTTCATTTCACAGCAACTAATGCAAAACTCTCCCAGTCGTTTACCGTCACATCGTGACTGTGGGGTATTCCTGAAAGTCGAGCTACAATGTAGTGTTCGAGTTGAATGTTTTCGTAGTTCCAACGAAGCTAAGAATGTGTTCGACATTTTCAACCAACAACCAAGTACGGGTTTACCAATATGAGAATTCATTGAAATCCGGGAAGTAAAGCAGTCACTAAATGACAAGTGATGACTATCTAGGGGGCCGCTAGCATTTCATTCTATACTCCAGCAAGAAATAATCTTCCACAGTTACCAGATTATCAACCAAACGGAAAACGTGTTTGAGTTCACAGAACTTTGTCATTACGTAAGACTGATGTCCACTGTTCAACTACACACTGTTTAAGGTTCGAAGCCAGATATCAATATACCGTACAACAAAAGCCTACCATTTCGCAAGAGATTCGATATGGTTTGTTTCAGTCATGGAAACTTAAACCTTATCACACAACTCTACTAGTTATAAAGCCAATGAAGAATGGGAAAGGCAAAAATGACAGTTGCAAGCGAACAACGAAGAAATTCTATTAAAATTTCGTTATATACTAGCCTTCTTAAGGTTATCGAAAACCTACTTACCTTAACTCAGATGGCAAGCTGACACTTTGTGTCGTCTTCGTCCAATTTTAGGTTGTTTTATCTTAGGTTGTCATGGGCCCTTCATTGTTCTAGGGCTCTTAGATTCGTTGATTAGAGCGTTTTAACGTATGACTGACGATATACATTGTATACAACTACACGTAGCGCCCCTGGTAGGCGATATGATTGTATGCAATGCATTCTTTCGTTGACTATTTTGCTTCTCTGAACTTCTTTAAACTACGTTCCGATAATAACCTTTTTTCCGCCTACTATAATTTTTCACGGCAAGATATGATGTGAAATACGACCATAACGTTGCTCAGATACTCGCAAAATTTAGGCCCGGCCATGATCGAACTACGATTTCCCTTCCCAAGGGCTCGCGCATTACACACTGAACTATGGAGAGTCTAGCTCTGCGTTTCTCTCAGATAGTTTTCTACCTAACGCTGCCATCAGCAATCACCCGTCAACGGGACTGATAAGCTGAGGCTGCAGTCGAAATCACAAAGCTAACTTTTATTTTCTGCTTACTACAATTTTTTTTGATCTCAGTGGTGCAGTGCATAATGCGTGAGCCTCCAGAAAGGGTAATCGTGGTTCGATCTTGCCCAAGGTCCAAGTTTTTCGAATATGTCAGCATCGTTGTGGTTGTAATTCATATCATACATTTCGACGGTTAATTGACAACAGGGCAGTGTGAAAAGGATCGAACCAGAGAAGCTATTGTTTACACTCAATGATTCAGAAAAATCGTTTTCCGAAAGAATTCGCTGATCAGTAGTCTTGCTGATAGTTAACACATAACGAGCGACGTGGAAATTTACGCTCATGCGTGACGCCCCAGGTGACCAGTGAGATCTCACATTTTTCCTCATGGGTTACGTCGCGCATAATCTTTTGCTGTACTTTTTGTAATCATTCGATAGCTTATCGAAGGCATAACGACGTAAGTGGGAGGAGGGGGGGGGGTGTTAGGAGGACTAGAAATCTTTCTCTTCAGTTCATGATTTACACAAAACTTTAAAACGTTAGCCGAAAATAAACATCATTATCAACCTCGTGTAAGCTCATCAAAGAAAGAATACAAAACTTTCTTTTCGGACAAGTTCACTGACCGACAATTTGATTAACAATTGACATTATTTTCCCTTCAGTGCTATAATGTATCATGGCTATTATATGGGATATGTGGGTATAAAGAAAGTGGTAGAGACAGCGCGTAAACTGAAAAGCACATCTAAATGTTGGCAGCAATATGTTAGTAAGAACAACAGTAACATGGTGGCTAAGAACATACATACCAACAATAAAACGATAGGGCAAATTCTGTCGTATTCACGACCGTTCAAATGCCGTAGTTGTTGGAAATATTGTCGTTTATTGTCAAAAAGCCAGCAGTTCGGTAAGGGCTAGAAATCAGGAGTTATTCTAGCTACAGAGCTGCTAAAGACAACGCATCCGTTATGTGTTAACTGTTATTGTTGTCAGCTGTTGTAACAGCCATTTCAAACACTGTGATTCATCATGAATCCCATGAGTGCATCCATGAATCAAGGTTATCGATAGGATTGGAATGGCACTAAAAATAATAGGAAAAGTTGCAAAACACTTCGAAATGCTGACAGCAATTTAGTTGTATGATGAGCTATAATTATGGCCATTTCGTCATAGATAGGCTTGTTGTTTCCCAAAAGAAAGTCGAACTCCTTCATATAATGTGTGATCATCGTAGTCACTTAATTGGAAACCCTTTCTATCCACTGCTGGAAATAGATATCAAGTAAGCGATGAAGAACAGGTGTTAGTATCATTCTCTGGAGGAACTGGATAAATTATCAATTTCAATTTAAGATAGTGGACTGGCTACTTCTGCCGCAACCGCATCGTCCTGGCCTTATTACTGCTTATATTGACCAGCCTGATAGTGCAGGACATTATGAAGTCAACGACAAAGATGTGATTCATTTTTTCTCTCTTAAAAGTTAAAGCAATTGCAGAAATTGATCAAAACGCAAAGATAAAGAGTGCCTGGATTTCAGATCGAATCTGCACTTTCGGAAGTTGACGATCATCTCTGGTATCTCATTAAACGACTTCGGAATGAGAACCTCTTGCGTTGCGTGAACCTTGCCATTGTATCGGATCACGGTTTGAATTCTATTTATATCTTTAGGCTCAAGAAATTTTCTGTATAGTGTCAACAATGAAAAGGTATTGTAGAGCAGGTCTCAACTCCTTACTTTCCACCATTTGTAACGAACTGGAGGGCTTTTTCTAGCTGATAATGTAGGGTGTAGAAGGAGTTCATTTTAAATTCTTTCGATAAGGGTCTAGTAGAATTTCAACTTTTTTCACTTCAAAGGACTTGTAAAACAGCAGGTATTTTTAAAGCTAACACAAAGTCTCTGAATAGACTGAGTGCGACGATTAGGAACAGATTCTCTTAATGTTTTTCTGGTCATCCTACTTGTTGTTTTTTGTGCTCCTAAACGACAACTGAGAACGTTATGATTCGTTTATTATGACTACCTAATGTTGTTAAGCATTCGTACAGATCAGCGTCGTGAATAATTTTTTAACCTGCCTGAAGGAAATAACTTTGGTTATGATAGCTTATGTGGCGCTGAATAACTCTGGATCCTTTCACTCCTTCGTAATCACCTTCACTGATTGCACAAATATCTGAATTTTGAAACCAAATGGGAGATTGAATTCGATGTAGAGAGCATGGAATTCGTCAACACATGTCTTCTTTAGCACGTTTTTGATATTTTTCCAAATCCTCAATGAAACTCGCTGAGGTGATTCAGATGTTCCGTTATTCTTTAAGTGCTTATATGCAGTCTGATATGTATGGCAATTCGTTCCTGAGTGGTGATCCACGAAAAGCGCTGGTGGATGATCACATTCGTATGGACTCTTCGTGATTGACTGATTTTTGTTGAATTTACTTTAGCTTCGCATAGTACCCTTCTAGTTGTTCACTATAGCATCAACCTTCGTTCTTTCAACTGGTGGAAACTGAGGTGTATTGCTTTTTTAAACCAGATAGTGGTTTACTCCTACATCCAGTGATATTGCAAAAATCGATTACTTCCAAGTAACTTTCTCCCGAAGTGATTTTTGTAATAGCTCGCATTATGTTTAATGGTTTTCTACAGCCCTGAAAATGAAGGTCAGCAATCAGCTTCATTGTCATCGAATCGTCTTCAATTTGAAGTCTTTGGAGACATATCTGCACTGTTGTTTGAGCTCCAGCTTTATTTCTCTGTGTTCTTCTTTAGACTACGAAGCGGAACGATTCGAAAATTCAATCCAGTGATAAAAAAAGACACCCAAAGACTTTGGAAGAGTCTGTGAGACTTGCGGAAAATTTTTTAGGCAGTTGAACTATTGACTATAGAGAACGAAGTATGGAGGGGTTAGGGCGTTCGATGCTGAACAATCTTTAATGAGTTCGCCATGCATTCGACTTTATCAAGCATCGTGTAGGTGATTGAATGCACATTTGACCTACACAGCATCTTTCGAAGCCTACTGATGCATGAAGTCAGTGTTTTCATTATTCCAGACAAGTTTGTTACCAATTTGCTGAACAGAAACAGATGGAGAGCTTGATTTGCCTTGGGCCCAGGATCAGACCGCCTAGCATTTGTGTGCTGCATTGCACCTCCAACTGCTGCGCTATATGCGCCGCACTATTACATTTATAACTGGACCTTGTCCATTTGGCAACGAGTTCAAAATTCACCACTGTGTTCCGAATGATTAATTGTCTTAAGGGAAACACCAATGGGTCTACGTGGATTTTTATCCATTATATGGTGGTGAAGTAAAACGATCGATGAATGAGAACGCAAGATGAATAAGAAAATTACAATTGAATAAAAACGTAGCAATTCCTAAGACCGACTTTCTGTTAACCTCGGCATTAATTGATTATTCAATGTTTTTCTTCAATAAGCAGACACGAGGTTGTTAATATATTATATTAATATAATAAATATTAACAACCTCGTGTCTGCTTATTGAAGAAAAACATTGAATAAAAACGGTTGGTGAAGCTCATCACCAATACTGTAGATTTATTTAGCATAGGAAGTTGTTCGGTTCACAGCTGTATACATATTGAAATTGTTAGGTAACCACCTTACCAAAAAGAATTGTACAGGAACGTTGTTGAAGCAGAAGGATTTGGCCGGCGTTGACAACGTGTATGGTCTTTTTCCGTTTATTTTTTGCCAATCTTTTCGGATGATACTAAATATTATGCTTCGAAATCAGATTTCGTACTAAGTGTATCGCTTAGGTTGCATCGTACATCATACTATTGACACTTGACACTTCAATGGGTCGTCCTCACTGGTTGTGCGGGCCCCAGCATAATCTATATTTTTCGGAGATTTGCTGGTTAAACCACTTTGGTTTCCTAGAATCCCGACGTCAGCCTGGCCAAGGTCTGCTCCAGGTCTTCACCACGATAAACAGTCGTAGCCCTTGTGGATTAGAGGAAGATTTGCCACCATGCGACTTTGATACCAGAACGGTGATAGATCCTGGTATTGGTTTACTCTTAGCTAGGCTTCCTGATGGAAATGCCAGACTCCTTCTCAGGTTGGGAGATCTTGCAAGAGGATGAGTCCCCCGCTGTACATCGCAGTCCGACACCCAGGGACACCTCCCAGCCACGATGAGTTAGTAAACTGTTGGGAGGGCCATACTACGGAACAGCTCGGAAAACTGAGCTAGCATGAAAGTACTTTAGAAAAGGATAAAAAATAAAAGGATCAAGCTCTCGACGTTGATCAATTCCTTAGGGATGGACCATGCATTCAACTTCATTAGGCATTTGGAGGTCATGTATATTTGACATTTGCAATGACTCGCGGTGGCCTACCGTTATATCGAGTCAGTGCTGCTATCCTCCCAGACAAGTCTGGTACCAATTTGTGGAACCCGGAAGAATGGAAGGTTTTGTGTGTCATGGGTACGGGGATCGATTCCAGGCGTGTGCTGTAGGACGCCTCCGATCACTGCGCCACACGCGCTCTGAAAGTACTTTATAGTGGTAATAAATAAGGTTTAAAAAATTGACAAAATTCACAAAACGGAAAAAAACACCATCAGTACTTTCAGTAGTTGCCACTCACTTTCCTCCGTTGGTGTGAAGGGAAGCAGCTCGTACTATCCGTCAAACAAGAAATTTCATTCTAGGTATGCAAAAAATAAATTTCACGCCCTACTTTTCTGATATGATCGATGACAAGAACGTTCTCATCGCAGATGGTGCTGTCAGCCGTCTTCATAAGTACAAATCCGGTCAGTTTGTGGATGTAACTGAGATTTCTTCTTGCGGCTGGACTGTGTTAGTTCTCAGGGAAGCATGAGAGATACTCAGGGATGCTATGCCTCAACCTCGTCACTTCTGTTTATTAAGGATCGCTCTTTTAGTTGACCGTTTCGATCTAGAGTAATAAAATCTTCATGCCAAAAGGCATTGAGCGAGATTCAAAAATTTCTTTAATAGGTGCATTTTTAGAGTAATAATATGACTCGGTTTTTCAATCGCCAAGAAATGTTTTGAATGGGGTCAGCCTGAGTGTATTTGTAGAATTCAGCGAAGACATCTTCAAAATTTGTAGAAAGTTGAATGAAGTATTCTCCTTAAACTGGAAGATCGCATTTTCGGAATTTTTTGTTACGAAGCTTCCTAAAGTAAAAAAACAATAAAATGAAGTTAAAGCTAAAGGATAAAGCTGTCGGCGTTGATCAATCCCTGAGGGATGCGCCATGCATTCGACTTCATTAAGTATCGTTGGAAGTACCGATGTACCGAGCCAGTGCTGCTAACCTCCCAGACAAGTCTGGTACCAATTTGTGGAACCCGGAAGAATGGAAGGTTTTGTGTGTCATGGGTACGGGGATCGATTCCAGGCGTGTGCTGTAGGACGCCTCCGACCATTGCGCCACACGCGCCCAAAATCAAGATAAGTTCTGGAATCAATTACGTAACCACCGACCCCCAATTAGCACCGAGCGACGGGATCAGTAAAAATTTATAGAAACTTTTTCAGCTTGTAATACAATAATTCAATAAGCATTACAAAGTTTTTGAAAACGTTTAAGCTCGCACAGTGGAGCAATTGATGAGTCCGTTCCAATGCAGACATGGAGACAAATGGAAGGTGTACGATAGAAAAAGTATGGCGACCAGGAAGCACTTTCAAAAGACGCCACGAGTCGGCGACGTCATCGTTCAAGGGCAACCAGGAACCCGCTTTTACAAGTGAGCTCTCTTCCAAGCATTACCAGCAGCACTGTAGAAAGCTTTCTGATCGAAAATTGCAAAGTTTCAGGGTTGAGCAAGAGCTTAAAATCTAATAAATGCTCGTCTGGTTTCTGGAGCGGCAGGTCTTTATATATAATCGCGTAGAACGCAGTGTGCTTTTCATTGGAGCTAATTTTCTAGCTGGGCGAAAGTTGGTCTCTTTGGAGTCTCAAAATATCCGTACTAAAACCTCCCCTGATCACCACCAAAGGGCAGTCGCTGGTCCCTTCGATCCGATGGAATTTGCAACACTTATCTTAATTGCTACCAGAATGGCCGTAAGTTCTGGCTTTCGTTCGGGTGTGAGTGAACTGAAGGACGGAAATCTTGAAATCCTTTTATCATGGGAAAACCTGCTTGAAGTATGTATTCCCGTTGTATATCGCCATTAGACAGTTGCTATAATGAAACGTTCTAGGCATCTAATGAAATAATTATACAAATGTTGATTGAGTGCAGCAATTCTACTTTAGTGATCGCGTGAAAGGAGAACGGATTTATTCCACCTTAGTAATTTTCAGAGATGCATCGAAGAACTGGAACCTCACCGGCGATCACGGTTACGACTACATCAATCCCGCAATGCACACAATCTTCTATGCCATGGGGCCATCGATAAAGAGAGGCTCATTTTTGCCGGCGTTTCAAAACATCGAGTATATGAATTTGTGGCTTAGTGAGTCGACCGCTGTTGTCGATATTCTTACATCCGGTAGATGATGACCGGCGTAGAAGAACTCCAATGAGGAGTTATAAAATAATACAAAATAGCTTTGCAATTCTAGGAGGTTTTTATAGCAGGTAACGAATTTTGGTCTTTCTTGTGCTTACGAAGCCCCCATGTGCTCTTAGACGGAGCAACACAGTTTTTCGGACAGTTCAGCGTTTTCTAGATTTGCTTGGTTTACCGGAGGATGTGCCGAATAATGGAACTCCCGGAACAATGGACAAAATTCTTGTTCATGCTCCTTTCCGACCTACAGCGTTCTACACCTCTTTGCAGTAAGTTTTCTCAATTACTAGGTTATTGGAAACTGGGCGACCTTCTTGTTTTTTTCGATGGTCCTATAAATTTGATTTTTGCGCTTACAAATCTCCATTATTGAGCTGAATATTCAAGAGAATGCTTAGCCGTCAATCTTCATGGCGCAAACGGCTGTCACTCATGTTCTTCTAAAGATTTGGTGAGTTATCGCCAATGGTTCAAAGAGCAAAATCTTTGTGCTCTAAGTCCAATTTCCTTTCTTCAAGGAGCGATTGGAACCGCGGCTATCGTGCGTACTGCCGCCAAAATTTCCTTTAAAAATCGCTTCGATTATCCCGAGTTGTTTCCAGAATTACTGCGAAAAACTGGTGATTTCTGGATTGGGAAAAGGTTAAATCGTTTAACATATCTGCTCATAATTTGCCGTTGGGTCTTTGGCTTTGTGGCTTTCTTTTTTTAAACATTTTTTTGGGATTCACTTTGTCAGTATTTTAAATGTCCTCACTCGAGAACATTTGAGTATAAAAAAAGTTTGGACGACCTCATACGTCACTGAGAGCCTTCTACTCATGAAAGATACAACATTTCAACAATGTATTTCATATAAGAATACAAACGATCTTCAGACGATCCGGTGGCCATTGCGGAGAGGCTAGTAAGAGGTCAGACCGAGTTGCAGAGCTCGTGCATATTCTCTAACCGGAAGTATGGGGCTTGTACGAATAAAGGAAATTCTTTAGGATTCGTCACTAAAACTATCTCTGCAAGCAAATCAGGTAGTCTGGAATTACATTTTTTAATCAGGCCTTTGCTTATTCAATGAGATGTCAAACCTCAAAGGCTTAGATTTTTTCTAGTGTGCGGTTTTCAGACTTCGCAAACATCTCTCCGATAATTATTCCATGGAGAAGCGGTTTTGTTGATGGTGAGTGATGGTTTTAGAGAAAATTATGATGAAAGGGCTAGCAAAATTGCATTTCTCTTCGAGACTTCACGTTTCTCCAGATGTGCTCGATCCGTTGAATAGATACACCAGATCGTTGGCCGATCGGTTTGGGCATCTGGTCGTCATCACCGGTGCTGCATACGACTACGATTACGATGAAATCGCTGACAGTGAGACGAGGTTTGAATGATTCTTCAAATCTTAGACACATGCATGCTAATAACAGCTGCAAAAATAGTCAAGCTGTGAAGAAGATCTCGAAAAGAAAGCCTATATGAGTTCTCATTAACCCCACCATCTAATTACCCCATAGCTATTAGATCACTGATTCAGATGGACCGAAGGAAGAATTGGTACGTTGTGAATGCTAAATAGATTTCTACTTTATGTTGGAATGGGAAATTCTGGGAAGTAAGAGATAGTGAGTGAGAAAAAAGGAAATGGTTCTGTTCCATCTAAGCATGAAAAAATATAACGAGCCTTGGTCCTACGAGCTGTTTTGTTACACTTTGCAGTAAAATTTTCAACACATCTGTGACGGCGCGCGTTCATTTCAATGGTGCACGCTGCGGGTCATCGTAGCTGGTACGAATGGAAGTCAATGCACTACCCAGCCATTTATTTATTTACTTTAGTCTTTTTTCATGGCAGGTTATGTTGTGAAATATGCCTGCGAGCCGGAGTTTTGAAAATATCACAGCATCATTGTTGTTATACTTTTTGTTAATGCATTATCCTTGTGGTGATTTCCTTTGCCGCAGCGATCATTTTGCCTTAATTTTTTTCGGTAGATTTAAAGCATTCGGTAGATTATTCACTGCAGATCATGTGACAGGTTTCGGCTGGGAAAGCCTACATCTTACACATAAAAATTTGCGAAAAAAAAGAGGGAAGGCTAAATTTAGTGGAAGACTCATAGAAAGCGCTGAGTCTGCAAAGACTCTGTGTTCAATGTGATTGAGATTTTGGTTCAGCATTTTCTCTGTTTGGTTATGGAGGTGTTTGGCCGTGTAGATTGCAGTCAGCTTAACCTTTCCAGGCTCTGAAGAAGGCGAAATCTGCCGAAATGTCAGCCTGTACGTAAATAAAGAAACAAAATAACACCTCGTGTTTGTTAAACAGAAGTAGAAAGAATTACTCAATCAATGCCGAGGTTAATAGAAAGACGGACGTGGGAGTTACGGAAAAAAAACTTTTCTCCAACGAGTTCATTAACCAGTAATTTGGTTGTTATTTCAACATTGATAGTTATGATGGGCGATAGTTATTATATGGTATGTGTGAGGGTAAAAAATACCGAAATAGACAAGGCACTAGTTGCAAAACACTTCCAAATTTTGGCGGCAGTCTGAATGTGTGGTGGACCATTATAACATGTAGTAGGACATGCTGACTTAGACACCTGCATGTGCAGTCCTTACTGGTTGTGCGGGCCCCAGCATATTATCCGTTTTGCTGGTTTAGCCATTGTGGTTCCTTGGAGTTCCGAGGTCGGCTACGCCAGATATTTGCGTCGCCACCTTTGTGCTTCAGAGGAAGATTTTCTACCATGCCACTAGCTTGATACCAGGGAAAACCTGGTATTGGTTCACTCTTAGTTGTTCTTTCTGATGCAAACACCGGACTCCTTATAATGTCGGGAGGCCCTGCCAGGGAAGTGAAGCTGCCACGTAGTCCGATACCCAGGAACACCTCCCAGCCACGACGATGCGCTAAACCGTGGGGAGAGCAAGCATACATAGCCTTCATTACTATGGAGTGATAGCGCAATTGTCTCAAAACCTTTGAACTCCAATTTGTGCCGGCTATACCTCCCCTGCTAGTCTTGCTAGAATTACCATCTCATAATTGGAAGTTGGCATATTTTATTCAAATTTTTATCGAAAATCGATATAGAACGCACTTGACTTGGAAACGTCATCGCTCTCAAACTACCCCTTGATATTGTATTGTGCTTCGAATTTTGGGCAAGGTATAGCCTTAACTTAGCGTTTCTGACGGTTTGCTATGTCCACGAAATTTTTTAGCGATTTAACTTCTAGAAAACCTCTAATGAAACTTTTTATTTTACCTTATTCTTCTACTGTTTAAAGAGCGCGTGTGGCGCAGTGGTTGGAGACGCCACTGCGGCATACACATGGAATCGATCCCCGTGCTCATGGCCCATGAAGCCTTGCTTCTCTCCGGAGTCGGCAAATTGCTACCAGACTTGTCCGAAAGGATGGAAGCACTGGCTCGAAACATCGGTGGGCCACCGCGAGTCATTGTAGAGGCCAGATACGCATTCCATCATCTCCAACGATAGTTAATGAAGTCGAATTCATGGCGCATCCTTCAGAAATTGATCAAGGCCGAGAGCCCTATCCTTTTTCATCCTTCTACTGTTTACTTCTTATTTTTTTAAGTAGAAACATATGATCTTCAGATCAATTCCGTCTCATCTCTATCGTGTAATAATTTCTTGCTTGGGCGGATGGTCATCAGATGGAACGTCGTGCTTGAAGCCCTCTGACACGATTGCCCTATCCTTTATATTTCCTCACATCGAAAAGGACGTTAACTGTTTGGTTTGTGCTATCTTTCTTAGTAACTTTCGGAGAAAGGTTGTCAAATCTGTCTTCCTTGAACTCAGTTTTAATAAACACACATTTCCTTATTTTCATGCCAAGCCAAACATTTGTGAAATCTTTGTGTCTCAAAAGGAAACTTGGAAGAAAAGTATTGCAGACACGTTTGAAGTGCATTGTGGAATGAGATGTTTTGTGTTACAAAAACTACCAGGAGTTTCTTAGGGATCTCTACTATAATATATCAGTGATGCGACGGCGGTAACAGTCGGCACTCCTTACAAAGACTAGGTATTTACAGGCCCCGGAAGATCTCCTTCTGGACTACACTGCTCGACTCCTGGATGTTGAACTCATTTCCGGATTGCGGTTTCAGTTTCCGAACCTGTCAAATGCTCAGTTGTTGCAACTGAAAACACATATAAGTCTTGAGCTGTGGTAATCGAGACTATCAGAATTCGTGCATTATTCTGCAATCGGTCAGCCACATATCAACATTCCCTCTTAGATTTGTTTTCGAACGAGTAATTCATTGACCACCAATTTGAGTAGTATTTAATTGACTGTTATTTTAGCTCTAAGCGCTATGATAAGTTATAGTTACTGTAGAGAATGTATGGGTATAAAAATACGGTAACAGACTCAACCCAAACTGCAAAACGCGTCCAAATGCTGATAACAATGTGTTTATTCGATGGACCGTAGTAACATATGGCAAACAGTAACACATTAATAACAGTAACACATAACAGTGAACTTATACCTATAAAATGATAGAACGAAATCTGTTTTATCTTTCCTTTCTTTTCTGTTCCTGGATCGTTTACGTAACGCGCGACCCAACAGCGCGTACGTGGTGGAGTCTTTCGACGTTACTGCCCTCTATGCAAACGTTTCGAATGACTCCACAAGCCATCCGCGAGCTCCTTACACAACACGAAGGAGCAATAAACATGTACGGTTTTTCGATTCAGCAGTTGATGACACTCTTAAAGGAGTGCCTGAACTGCTCAATCTTCAGATGGTCCGGGTGGTATTACGCACAAATGAGAGTGCTGGCAATGGGACAACGACTGGCTCCAAGCCTTGCCATTGCATTCATGTCTAAGGTGGAAGCGCCAGTAATCGACCTCGCTCCGTTACTCTACTGTAGATATATAGATGACTGCTTGGTCATTTGTTCAACGCAAGAAGAAATCGACAGATGTTTCGATTTGTTGGACGAACAGTCAGAGTATATTAAATTCACCCGAGAGAAACCAAAAGAAAACTGGCTTCCACTTCTGAACGTGCAAATTAGCCTATCAGAAAACGGCTACATTACGAAGTGGTATCGAAAGCCAAGTAGTAAAAACAACCTAGTTCATTACCTCTCCTCTCATCCCTCTCACACGAAAAGGGCGCTTGTGAGAAACATGTATCGAACAGCTACCAACATGTGCAAAGGGAGACAACAGAGAGAGGAGTCCAAGAACTTGGCACGGCAAATAGCCATTTTTAATGGCTACGAAACCGTAGCTCCAGATAGGTGTAGAGGAAACCACAGGTACCCCAACGATAACTCTAGCGACAACAAGGTCCTGTTTATACTGCCCTTCATTTCAAATGAAGTAAGTGCAGCTATGAAACGCTGTTTGAGAAGGACCAGTCTAGAGAATTCGGTAACGATAATCGAAATACCACAGAATAATCTAAGGCGCCAGCTAGTTCGTAACCGCCTATACGACCGTCTACGTGCAACGCAAAATTGCGTAATTTGCCCAATGGTAGAGACGGTGACTGCATGAGTTCGGGTACAGTCTATCTGATCTCTTGTAAAGCGTGCGGGGACGAATACGTTGGCGAAACGGGTAGACCACTCTGCGTACGTATAAAAGAACACCTAGCCGGCAAACGTAAGCTAAGTACTCCACTAGGTACGCATAGCACGCAGAAACATAACGGAGAAGATTTTGAAGTAAGGGTTACGATCATCGCGCAAGAATCGAGAACACAAGCGCGCAAAACTCTAGAGGCATTCTGGATAAATTCCAAGAATCCGAAAATGAACCGCAGGGAGGAATGCCTCGTTATCACGCGTGATATTGGACAGTATATAAACCTGTTATTCTGATGGGAGGGGCACATTACGCTTCCATGTGAATTCTGTGCGGTCGGTCTTCATGCGATATACTCAGTGGAAGACTCATAGAAAGCGGTGAGTGTGCAGAGCTATACTAAATGTGATTGAAATCTTGGTTTAGCGTTTTCTCTGTTTGGTTATGGAGGTGTTTGGCCGAGTGGATTGCTGTCAACTTGACCCTTCCAGGCTCTGAGGAAGGGGAAATCCGCGAAACGTCAGCTTGTGCGTAAATAAAGAAATAAAATAGCACCTCGTGTTTGCTGAACAGAAGTAGAAAGATATATTCAATCAATGCCGAGGTTAATAGAAAGTCGGACTTGGAAATCTGTTCTTTTATAACTATGTGGTGCTCTCATTCCGTCAAGTGTTTTGGTCATCGAAATATTCTCGTCTGTTATCGAAAATCAGAAGATCCGTAAAGGCCGTAAATTAGCCGTTCTCTATTGCAACAGTCAAGCAAAATTAGGCGTCATCGCCTAAGTGTTGACTGTTTCTAAAACA